GTTTTAGAACAAAATCTTCCAACAAATGAGGCTATATACAAGTTAGTGAATGAAATCTGTAAGACCTTAAACAACAAAAACTTATTAGGAGACATTTTCTGTGACCTAGAAAAGGCCTTCGATTGTGTTAATCATGAGGTTCTGTTGTCAAAATTGGAGTTCTATGGGCTAAAGGGTAAAGCTAAAGTATGGCTTGAATCTTATTTCAGAAATAGATATCAAAGGGTTTTAATTACAAATATAAATCTTAATCTCAATGAATTTTTGACATGGGGCAAAATTAGACATGGTGTCCCGCATGGTTCGATTCTGGCTCCATTGTTATTTTTCATTTATATAAACAATTTACCCAAAACTATAAATGATAAAACTGTACCTATATTATTTGCAGACAACACTAGTTTGTTAGTTAAAAGTTTAAACTATGATGATCTCTGTGTAAATATAAACAATGCTTTTCATAGTATAAATGAATGGTTCAAAGTAAACCAACTTTCTATAAATTTCAATAAAACACACTACATTCAATTTACAGCTAGAAATAATAATCCTAAATCTGAAATAAAAATTTTATATGATGAAAAACAAATTACATCTATATCCAATATTAAATTTCTTGGAATATTCATTGATTACATAATGAGCTGGAAATACCACATTGAGTATATTAGTTCCAAACTAAGTGCAGTCAGCTACATATAAGATCACTTAAACCATACACGTCCATAAATACCTTAAAGATGGTTTATCACTCTTATTTTAATTCTATTATAAATTATGGTTTACCCTTCTGGGGTAACTCACCCCAAAGTATAAACATTTTTAGAATACAAAAGAATATAATTAGAATTATGTTGGGATGCAGAAGGAGGGATTTGTGCAGGAACTTATTTAGAGAATTAGAAATCTTACCTCTGGCATCTCAGTACATACTATCTCTTATGCTCTTTGTGATAAAAAACAGAAACAAATTCATAGTAAATTCAGAGATTCATAGAATAAATACCAGACAGCAAAATAATCTCCATCAGCCTCTTGTAAATTTGAGTAAATACCAAAAGGGGGTTTACTGTTTAGGATCAAAGGTCTATAATAATCTACCACAACATATTAAGGATATATCGAGTGATACGAAGAGTTTTGAGGTACAATTAAAACAAGTTTTATATTTATATTCTTTTTAATCTTTACAGGAATATTTTAGTTATAAATCTTTTTAAGGTGCGAGTAGTTGTCTTGCTTTACAATTAAAAGAAGACAAGATTGTCAGTCTGTGTTCTGGTTTTTAGATGCTTATTTTTGATATACACAATCTTTATATTACTGTATTACTTTATTACTATTATATTACTTTATTTCAATTTGTTATATAATTAATGTGTGTTATTCAAAACTCATTAATGACATTGTGTTTTAACTATTGAATTTTTAATTAATAGACTTGTATAAAACTGTACAAATTGTATAAGGTTTGCCATTACTTTTACCACTAAAATTAACTTATGTATTATATTGTATATGTTTATCAATATTTTATACAAATGTGTATGCTATTGGATGACAACTGTAATCCTTAGTTATGACTGTAAGTAGGACAATCTCGACATCCGCATGAGAATGTACTCTTGACAGGATTTATGGAAAGTGAATAAATGAAATGAAGTAACACAGGAGAATCCGAGGGCTTCTTAACAGGTGTGAAATGGGAGCAGCTGTGCTCCTGTGATGTCTGTAGTGAATAGCAGAGTTAGAAGACACAGAAAGGCATACTTAGGTGGGAGTGTCCCTTGTGCTGTGATGTACATTGTATTCACCACAGCAAAAGGGCTTCTCCCAGCTGTGTATCACTCACCACACAGAGGAGCCTTCTATACAGAGCTTGCTTGTTTCACATTTAAGAAATAGGCATAATAACCATTTTGTTTTGTGCTCTGGAAATTTGAGGTGCCATTATCTATGTTGATGTTACCAGATTTGGATATAGAGTTGCCAACATACTTATAAGACGAAATCTTTGGTTGGATAAAGGGCCGGTTCTTACTTCCTTGCTCCAACCATCTCAGTCCTTTCTGCTGTTAGCTCTTAACTTCTTTGTATGGCCCTCTGGTTCTTTGTTTCTGGTTTAGTTGTCATTGTCAGTAGCCTGGACTTTGTAATGGTGAATGGTAGGATGATTAATGAATAAGAAATTAGGAAGGGTCTGGAAGGAATTGGTGATGTCCTAATTTGAGGTGTTACTTCGACATTTGCCTGAAGCAGTGGCGTGCCGTGCACAGAAGCAAGGGAAGCATTGCTTCCGTAGTTAAGAAACGAAAAGAAAAGAAGTCATATATAAATAATTCAATTTGAATAATAAGGATGTGAATATTGTCATGTTCTGAACATTTTAGCACATGCTCAAGGCCACATGCCTCCTCCCTTCCCCTGCTTGTGGGAGGGACCAAATTTCCTTTCGTTAATCTTCTTACAATTTCATCTCACCCAAAGTGATTAGGGAAGCCTGTGATATAGAAGTGAAGGGACTGTCTTCTTTCGATGGTTATGTGAAAATTAACTGTTTATGTGTGATTTCAGTCTTCTTGGGTGTTATAGGTAAGATTAAGTTTTATTAAAATATTGTAAGTGCATATTTCGATCGCATAAGATTGTATTTGTGATCGTAATTTGACGCATCAGAAAGAAGCTATCCGCGTTTAAGGGAAGCAAGTGTGATATTGTGGTACAAGTGGCAGGGGAGTGATTAGACTACACATACAGGGCACAGCTAAAATGATTGCTGACAGACAATGCGACTGCGACTGTACAGTCAAAAGCCTTTTAAAACTGGGGTTTAATAGCAGGGTCTTTTCTGAAAAAANCCCAAAGTGATTAGGGAAGCCTGTGATATAGAAGTGAAGGGACTGTGTTCTTTCGATGATTATGTGAAAATTAACTGTTTGTGTGTGATTTCAGTCTTCTTGGGTGTTATAGGTAAGATTAAGTTTTATTAAAATATTGTAAGTGCATATTTCGATCGCATAAGATTGTATTTGTGATCGTAATTTGACGCATCAGAAAGAAGCTATCCGCGTTTAAGGGAAGCAAGTGTGATATTGTGGTACAAGTGGCAGGGGAGTGATTAGACTACACATACAGGGCACAGCTAAAATGATTGCTGACAGACAATGCGACTGCGACTGTACAGTCAAAAGCCTTTTAAAACTGGGGTTTAATAGCAGGGTCTTTTCTGAAAAAATATAGAAAGAGGACGACCGACATGCGAGTTGCCAGAACTTAAAGCACAAACCAAATTATGTGTGAGGAAATTTAATTTAGAACAGTATTCTAAAACAGAGTGGCTACCTGGTTGCCGTAATATAGGAAAATTGTTTTGTTGGCCATGCTTGTTGTTTCTCAATGAAAAAAATGTATGGAATAAGACTGGGTTTGGTGATATCAACAACCTTCATAAAGCGTTGAAACGACATGAGAACTCTCAGACTCACATTATTTCAACAATGCAACTTGCTGCCCTTACCAAAAATAGTACCACACGCCTGGCCATGTTATGCTGAATACTCTGAAAGATTCCCAACATTTCCCGAATGCTTCCAGCTGCAACTGCAATTCTTGCCACAAGATCATGTTCTGTCTCCACTGGAGTCTCATACACCAGGCTTTGCATGTACCCCCAGAGAAAGAACTCCACTGAAGCAATAGGGGCAGGTTATTGGGCCTCCAAGTCCAATCCCTCTGTTGCCAAAGTTTTCATTCAAATACTCATGGACGACATTAGTGCAGTGTGCTGGAGCGCCATCATGATGGAACCACATTTCACGATGGGCTTCCAAATGTACCAATTCCAACAGCTGCGGTAAGGTCTCTTGGAGAAATGTTAGGTAAATGTCACCAGTAAGCCACAGAGGTAAGAGATAAGGGCATCCTCCATATTTCAGAGGCCCTACTTGTAAACAAAGCGTTTCCAGACATGGGTGTATAAACAAAATATGATCACATTGAGCCCATCAGTCAACCACAGAGTGTTGTATATTTATTTATACCATGTATATTTCATGGCATGTATGTTACATATACACTGAGCAATCACACTGCCCATTGAGGCTGTGTGCAGCAAATTATGCCTAATTTTGTTTAGCTCACTACAACCATTTAGTCCTTTGGAACATCTGTAGGCTTGACTAGTGCCAAGTTCAGGACTCTTTATGTATTATTCAACAAACATCACTGGTTCACCATCTTACATACAGTTCAGCCTTCTAAAATATATATTTAAAAGTGTCTGTACGTTGCACAAAATGTTTCAACTGACATTGTTCATCATCAAGGGTTTGAAACTGTTGTGCTTCTGTTTTATGGTTCCAATATTTGATTTGCACTCATTTATGTGTAACATGTGTTAGTGTTTTTGTATATAATGTGTGTTGATTACTTGCATATGTACTTACTCCATGGCGCTGGGTGGCTCTTCCTGTTGTGTGTCTAGACCACAGGTGTTTGCTGATCTGGATGTATTCTGTGTCAGACCTTGCATTTTGTTTCAATATTTTCTTTTTCATGATTTTATGTGAATAATGTTTGCTGCCTGTATATTTTTGTTATATATAAGTAACAATAGTGGAGGCTTTTTATCTTTACCTTTTTTTATAATTAACAATAGATTTAAATGGATATGGATATCACTGCTTGGGAAATTATCAGAAGTATGGGGAACCTTCTTTGCAGGCACTACAGTTTCATCAGGAGGGGCAGGCATAAGTCATTAACCTTGTAGGGCCCCATATGGAGAGTTAATTTAATGTCAGTGCTCAGTTACTCACTTATGAATAGGGAATAAAGTGTGTAAAGATTTGTATTGTTTGTGTGTGTATCCATCATGGAATCCTGTCAGGATCACATTGAGAAATTTTATTTGATTCATGAAGTGTACATTTAATCTTCATCACTGTATAAGATGAACATTATTCACTGTACATCTGTGTTTATTGATTTTTACATTCCAGTGCTCACATCACTTCCCCAGTGTTAATGAGTCCATGCTGTAGCATTCTGAGAACATAACTGTCTTTGTGGTCTGGCATTTATATACAAGTATCATCAGTGAAGAGGCTTGGTGAGTGTAGTTTTGTGTGACATCATTCATATACAGACTGTACAAGATGCAAGGCAGGACTTTACAGTACATCTGGTTGTATTTATCATGGCACAGACATAGCATCTTCAAAGATGAGTGAGAAAAAATGATTCAGATCGAAGAAAAAGAGAAATAGGGGTGGGGCTGGGGTTGGGGGTGAAAGAATGCGAAGCCCTGGCACTAGAAGTGACAGTTACACAAAGGGCATATGTACTAGCTTCACGGAGTTGAGCCCTTCTTGAGAAGCTGCAAGTTGTGCAGCTACTCAAGAACTCCCTAGCTTTTTATGGAACCCAAACATAGATACATTACCGTGTTCACAAGAGCCCTCCACTGGTCCCTATCCTGAGCTAGATCAATCCAGTCCACACCACCCTATCCTATGTTATTTTCTTAGCTTTGGTCTTTTATCCAAAGGATCTGTCCAGGTCCGAGGCCATTTGTGACATTTCATAACAAGGATGTTTTCTATGGGGGAGGAGCTGTTAGCCCCATGCCCAGCTCCCAAGCTGGAGGATCAGCTCTTGTTGACTGTCTGCAACTGCACATTCAGTATATCCCCTGCATCCACAACCTGAGAATGTGCCATGCCGTGGTGACAAGGGATCCACCTAACATCAAAGGGCATATGTCGGAGACATAAACGGTGGGGGCAAGCAAAGAAGATGGGTAAGAGAGACTGCACAGACATAAAAATAAAATGAATCAAAATACATAATTGCAATTTGTGTGATGAAGTAGGTAAGATTAATACAACTGTAATTGTAGAAGTAAAACTAAATGTAGAGGCCTTAGGAGAAAATTGGAAGCGGGGCAACCAGATTCAACGGACAGAATAGTGAGGCACATGTCAAGCGGCTTGTTCAGGAGGACATAGGATAAGGCAAAATAAAAAGTATATAAAGATGGAATGAAGGAGGAGGGCAAGGAACTAGTGGTAGGCATCACAAGCGCCATTTTTAGTGGCAGTTAAAGGGGTGCAAATAAAGTGAATAGGAGAAAACAGGTACATAAAGACTGGAGAGATAAAATAGTAAAAGAAAGGAAATGAAGAAGGCACAGGGTTGAGGAGAGGAAGGATGCTCTTGACTGAATAGGGCAAATTTTTTTTTCTGGACCGTAACTGCCCGGCTTAAGCACCAAAATCATGGAATATTTTTCAGATGAATCTTTCTACTTTCTTTCAAGGTGTAGATGAGATAATTTCATGGCTTGCTTAGGCAGAAGCCATGCTTTCTGTGCATATTGTTGCAGTAGAGCTCAGTCTGAGTTTGGTGCAGGAGATGGTGTTAATGGAGTTGGCTGTGCTCTGTCACATCTGATTATCCACTCAAATGTTTAAGTTGTGTATGGATCAAGGAGTATCATATCCATGGTTTTTCTTTGTCATGTAAATGTCAGGTTTAAAAATAAATTCTGCCGTTATCTCTGTTTTAGGTACTGAATATTTGGTTTCTTCTAAATTGTTGTTAATGATGGAATTGTTGAATTTGCTATGTCATAATTCTTACAAGTTGAAAGTCAGTTACTTAAAAATTGTATGGAGCTTTTAGCATTGTTTCATGCATCTTTTTTATAATGTGATGAAGAATTTATGGATGGCTCAAATGCTGTTACAACTTGGCATGTGCTGAATCAGCCTTACTCTGTGTACTGCCATTTTTATCCATTGTGAATTGTCACATGGCTGTAGATGTCACTTCAGTCTGAAATAAATGTATTTGCAATGACACCCTCAGTTTTGTTTGCTTCATGGGCTGCACTGTTTTCATGAGGTGCCTATTATATAAAAAGGTAGTGCTATCCCTGTAATGGGCTGTGAGCTGTCAAGGCTCCCACATTTTTATACAGTGGGCTCTCAGATGGTGAGGTTGTTAGCCTTACGCTCTGGCCACCCTTTATGCCCAGAAAGATTCCTGGCACTGATTTCTGTTAGAGACTGAGTTGACCCAAGGGCCAGAGTGCAGCTGGAAGGATTAGGTCAATTGAAAAATCGAATGACCTCATTGGGAATCAAACCCACAACCTTCTGGCCTATAGAATAATGTCTCAACTAGCTATGCAACCACATCTTTATGTATTTCTAAACCCCAGACATGACTACTTCATTGCAACAGTTGCATTAGCCTGTAAACCTATTAAAAGAGTTTGAAACTGAAAAGCTTTGATTGGTAATGTACAACACAATGATCCTGCAAAGGTCAGTTCCCAGTATTATGATTTACCTAATTATGAACGTTCATTTCTCTTTATGAGTCGTAAGCTAAACTGCCACAGTCCTGTGGTTGTTCTGATAACACTCGTCCCCCTTCAGCAGTCATATGATATGTACTCATGCTCTTTTTCTCATTTCCATTCAAACCTTTACAATTTCTGCATCAACATTTCCATAGCTATGTTTAGCATTTGTTGTTACTTTGTCTTACCTTCGTTGGACATGTGATGGAACCCTAACTATGGTCCTTAGTGCAGTAAACACAGTCCATAAATTTGATACCGTGATCAAGGATTGGTGATAAAAGCATAAAATCGATATGTAGAAAGCATCTTCAAAATGTTGCCCTGCCCCCATCCTTTTGCTTGAATATTTATTGATGCTGACAGTGTTGGGACTGTATGTGTCAGATGAAGGGGTGACTGATGAATTTGAAGCAGTCTGTGAGATGAGAATTGGCAGAGGAAACTGAAGTATTTGGTGAGGCCCACCCCCTCACCTTGTCACTTTGTCCACTACAGCTCTCCCATGACCTAGCCTGAAAACAAACCCATGCTAACACAGTGTGAAATTGGTGACTAACTTCTGAGCTAAGTCACAGTCAACATTTCCTCTGATGCTTTTGGTTCTGTAGCAGATTTTGTTTGAGAAGCTTGGAGTACAACTGAAATTGTGTCATAATGTGGTGGTTGTAAAACACATCCAGCCTGTGTTCCTGGGTGGGACGTGGTTATCTCTAGGTAAGGTGTTAGGCTCTCATTCCGATGGTTCTGAGTTTGATCGCTGCAGATTTATCTGCTCACAGATCGACATCTTCACACCTCCTCTGAGATTAATTGATATTAATTAATGTTCTGATGAGTGCTGGAAAATGTATCATATGAGAGAATGGTCTTATAATTTTGCAGCGGAATATGGATTCCATAAAAACAGAAAATTATCTGTATGGGTTGGGTGAAAATGATTCCATTGGCATGAAAACTAAGGAGGTTTACATACCATCAGCAATTTCCATAATAAAGGATGAACCTGAGGTGAGCCATGCTTTGTAATTATTTGTTTTGTATGATTGTACATTTGTTTTTATAACAGTATAATTAATTTATGTCGATCACGGTGTCTGTGCGGTATGAGTCATGAACTGTCTTTGCCTGCTCAAACACTGGGGTCGTTGGTTCAAATCCCACTCGAGGCATGGATGTTTGTGTACGTTTATTCTGTGATTGTGTTGTCCTGTGCAGGTAGCAGCCTTGTGATTGGCTGATCCCCCATCCAGTAGTCCAACCGACTGTCTAAAGATTAAGAAACTGAAGTGAAACAAAGTGTTTCACGGATGCCTTATACTCCAGAAGGAGCAAGAAGATTATGAATGAATAATTAGTTTATAATTTGATGTTCAGTTCAGCAAATACAGTAAACTATCTTGTGTGAACAGAGTACTCTTTAGGGTTTGAGATTCTCACAGCATTGACAATGAGGAGTTGAATTTTTTGAGAAGTAACACTGTATAGTACAGTGAATGTTGCCCAACCTTTCGAAAGAGAATATTACGTCCATCATCAGAGTCAAAAAGTAAGCCAAGCAAGAGAGCAGCACGAAAATGGCAGGGAGCAGCCTATCCCTGGGCTACATGGCATTATATCCTAGGAGACAGAACTCAACAGAATATTTTTGCCTCTGAAACAATTATAAAGATACAACATTTCTGTGGCTTTGTACTTTAGCTCTGCCTTATTCCTGTGAGGGGGCATGCGGTAGCATAGTGGTTAAGGCACTATGTTAAAAGTTGGAAGGTCGCAGGTTCAAATACCGATGAGGTCATTGGATATTTTTTCAATTGACCTAATCCTATGGCCCTGGGGTTCACTCAGCCTCTAACAGAAATGAGTACCAGGAATTAAATAAATAATTTTCCTGGGGAGTAAAGCGCGGCCGGTGCGTAAGGCTGATTGTCTAGATAATGTGGGACCCTCAACGTTTCACAGCCCTGTGGATCTTATTCCTGTGATGGTCCTGTTCTCTCAGAGAACATAGAAATGATTTTGAAAGGCAGTAAAGAATCGTGTCTCCAGCAAGTGTAAATAGAGACCAAACTTGTGAACCTACAGCTGTTTCATTGTCACGTGTATGGGTTTATTGCGTGACTTATAAGACGGGCATTGGATTGGATATGTTGCACCGTTACTTTCACACAACTCGGGACTACAGATAATACAGCACTATCGCTGAATTACACACTTTACAGTTCACCGTTACACACATACTAGGGTCCTGAGTCTTCACTAGTCATATCCAGACAATGGATCTGACCATCACTTCAAATTACACATGAAGTCTGTCCTTCACAGCTTAATCCCTCTCTTGCCATTTCTTCTCAGTCGCCTTCAACTGCCATCTACAGAACCTGACCCAGTTCTCTACAGTAACTAACTGAAATGAACTCTTCTTCAACTGAACCTTCCAAACTTCTGACAACTGAAAGTCAAAATCACATTGCAACTGACGGTCGGTCGGTACGTCTTAGTGTTGAGTCCCATCTGGGGCTCATGACCAGATATTTATTACTGTTTGACAGTTACGGTCTTGTTTTTTGGGGGGGTGCCCTCTCTGATGAGAAGACGGGTCTGTATTTTGTACATGCTGCTGGCCCTTGCCAGCACAGTCTTTCTCAGGTCCGAGTCCCTTGGTACTCACAACCATATTTTACTGTCTCAGATTTGAGACTTCCCTTTTCATCACCTCCTATGACTTGCAGGGTCACAGTGGAGGTATTCGAGACTGCCTCCACACCTCTGACAACTCCCTTGGAATTTCTCGTTATATAGCCTCAGGGCGGACCCTGCAGAAAAACACTGTTCTCTTGTCCTGCATTGTTTTAGACGTGTTTACTGATCCATTGCCTAGGAATAGACATGCCATTGTTGTGCTCGGTGGCTCCTGTGGGAATGTGTTTACTGAGTCATTGCCTAGCAGTGGGTCTGTACCTCACATTAGTTGTACATATGCTGCAAGATTTCAGATTCTGAGTTCATGGCTGTGAAGGTTACTTTGTATATGCTGGCAGATAGTTACTAGTGTTCCACTGAAATGTTGGTAACATATCCTGGGCTAAAGAGCCACATTCCAAAAGGAAGTGACCTTCAGTGATAAGTTGTTTGAAAGTCTGTCTTATATTATATTTGCCTGACCAGCAAGAATGATAGTTAGGCCAATTAAGATATTAATGCATGTGTAGTTACTTAAAGTAATGCTGTAAATAAATATTCATTTAATTTGCTCTGCATCCAGTATACACGTCTCCCTCTGATTACAGTGGCCACATGGTCTAACGCATGAACTGGCTTCGCTCACTCGAATGCTGCAGGATCATGGGTTCAAATCCCACTCAAGGCATGAACGTCTTTGTGTTCATTTATTCTCTGTTTTCCTGTATGTAGGTAGTGGCCTTGCGCCAGGCTCATCAGTCCTCCAAGGAGTCCTACCGTCTGTTAAAAAAAAAGATTACAAAACTGCAGAAAAAGCCAGGGCCAAGCAGAGGGTTATAGAGCCATTGATGAATGAATGAATGAAAATAAATAAATACATGTCTCCCAAGATAATCTGTCTTTCCATTGTCTTTCTGTCATATTATGATATAGATTTACAGTTTCTAGGGCCTGTCACTTTCATCATTTTTACAGGATTTGGTATAAAAATTGTGAAGCATGACAGCACATAGTTCAGTGTATGGCTTCTCATCTCATTGCTGTAGACCCAAATATTATCCTGTGCACTTTTTTTCTGAGTTTGGCATTCTGTGTGCTTATGCCAGATTTGCACTAGTTCACATGCATAAAAATGAGCATGAATTTCATCTCCTTTCATAGGATTTTATTAAATATTAGGAGCAGTTTGGTCCAGATGTAAATGCAGGGTTGATTCACTCATCTACGATCACCAGACAGCAAGACAAAATCATAACAAAAAGATAGCTACTAAAGCCATAAAAATGATGGAAATTTCAGATATTTAGGATTGACAGGGACAAATTGAAATTGGATGTTCAAAGAAATTACGAGTAAGAACAAGTTGAAGGTGGGAATTCTTGCTTCCATTTAGTGTAGAATCTCTTGTCTTCCCATATGCTGTCTGATTCACTTAGTCTTCTACCATCTATAATGCAGCAATATCAATATGGATTTTAGATGACATATTTACATTTAATTCACTAAAATGTTTAAAAATGTCACTAAAATATGTGCTATATGTTTTGGCCACACAGGGCCATCTTCAGGCAACACATTATTAAGGAATCCACTGCACTGCACACTTTCTCTTTAGCACTCTTAAGGTACATTGTTATTATTATTGTTAATTTTGGTATTATAGGTATTTGTTCTTCCTGTCTTTTGTATTGCAGCCGCTCTGTGCCCCACTGTGTGTGCAAGCCAACACAAGATACATAACGACCAAAAGTGCGGCACACACAGTGGCCGCAATTCTAAAGATAGGTAGAACAAACATCCTGTAATACCAAAATTAATAATAATAATAACACAGAGTGCACAGTGCAGTGATTTCCTTGATAATGTGTTGCCTGAAACACATAGCACATAAGCATACAATGTATTGTGGGATGTCGTATGAATGAGACAACCACTAGTTGAATTGTCCTATAGGATTTATTGCAGCTGCACAGTATACACAGATGGATTTCAATTTCAATTTCAGATATTTCAATGACATTTTAACACACATTTTAGTGAATTAAAAGTGTGTTAGTGTCGTCGAAATCTACGTATATTGATATTGTTGCATTAGAGAGGGCAGAAGACTAGGTGATGCTGAAATATAAAGTTATCGCTATCTGAAGATTTAAGGATTAAAATTTGCAGGGTTGTAATTTTACCTCTTGTTTTTTTGTGTATAATTTTCACACTTGTGGAAGAACAGAGATTTAGGGCGTTTGAGAACAGGGTTCTGAGAAGGGTATTTGGACCTAAAAGGAGATAATATGGCTAGAGAAGTTTACCTTATTTGGGGGGCGGGTTGTAATTTGTATGCATCATCAGATAATACTAGGGTGCTTAAAACATGGAGGATGAGATGGGCAGGTGATGTAGTGATGAAGTGTTAAGGGGGTTCATGCCTTTACCTGGTATAAGGAAGTCGTTTGTTTGGGTTTGTAACGTGGTACAGTCCATATTAAACAATGCACTCTATGTTGACATCTCTAAGTGTAGTTGACTTTGGCTAGTTGCCATTATTTTCAGTAGCAGCTGTTTGTCATTTGGTCTGTAAAGTTTAAATGTTGAATGTTTTAAGTTTCCTGTCAACCACTTATATAATATTATGAAATAGTCTTAAATGGAATAAAAATTACCTAACCTTGTTGGTGTCTTTGATTAATGAGTAATTAATATAGTTTACGTTTTTCATTGATTTAACAGTACTTGGTTAAATCTTGTTATGTTATGAAGTATTCAGAATGAAATACATAACTACTAGCAGATGCAGAATGGATTTAGTGTGGAAATTTCTATACCAGTACTGATTTATACCAACTGTCTGTATTTATATGTTAATATGAAACATTTTTAATACCATATCCACCAGATCCCCTTGTTGGTGTCTCCACCTTATCGTGGTGAGGGGGTTTGAGTATGCCAAGGACCCTGAGAGCTATACCAGCGGTAGCGTAGCTGCTGGCAGGGCCTCCCTTGCTGGACAGGTCAAAGGGTAGGCATCAGACGAAGAGAGACACCAAAAACCAAAAACTGATGCCGGAAGCAGCGTCATCAGCAGTGACTTGAAGCACACAGCAAATGATGCTCGAGATGGTTCAAGTTCCTATAGCAACAGGCGTGACCAGAGTAGTTTGAATGGCTGTTGTACTGCGATGTGGAAAGAAAATGGAAAAACTACCACATTATCATTCTTCCTGGATAGTCTCTTTCAAAAAACAGAGACACCATGTATGCGAACCAGAAGACGAGGAAGAAAATGTAAGACCTTGGGGACAGAAGAGGATATTCTCATTTGAAAGAGAAAGCTCTAGATCGCATTAAGTGGAGGAACTGTTTTGGAAGAGACTGTGGACCTGTTGTCTGACAGATTACTGATGAATGAAAAATGAATCCATCAGAATTGATATATTTTTCTGCATAAAAAAGCTGTTAGCTTAATTTTACACTTCTTGAATTGACATCTCTTTTGGGAAATTTGTTGTAAACTGTAAAAAACCGTAGTTCATGATTTTCATAATTCTATAGAAGAAAGTGTGCATAAAACTGCTGTTATTAATTTGACACAATACAAAGTGGTTGTAAAGGAAGTGTTTTATATGATGTAATGAGAAATCTAATTCATTGTTGACGAGTGTAATGGTTTTACAGAACAGTACAGATATCCTGAAGGTTGAACCTGGTTCAAGCAATGAGACATATCCGGCATCTTCTCATGAAGGAACTCAGGTCAGAGACAAAAAAGTTGAGGTCTCAAATGCTCAAGAGGTGGAGGATCCTCTGCTAATATCATTACCAGGAATAAAGGCTAAACATGAGGTGAGCTGTATGTCTCTCTCTCCATTGTTGTTTCACATGTGTCCATAATTGTTTGTTGTCTTTCTCATCTTGGTCTGTTGGTCTGCTGTCCATAACCAACACTGGTGAATGGATTTGAAGAGTCAATTCCAGAATTTCTGAAGAAAATTAATTGCATTTTGCTGCACATTGCTTATGGAATGCCAATTCTGTGAAACTACTGCATGGTTACAATTTTGTTAAAGCAGAAACTACACAGAACTGCTGTTATCAGCTTGATGCAGCAGAAACTGTTTTAATAGAAGTTTTTCTTATGTCACGTAATGAGGGAACACAGTCAGTATTGATGAGGGTCAAATCATTTTCACAGTATTGTATGGATTTCCTGAAGCCTGAGCCTGGATTAAGTAGCGAGGCATGTCCAACATCATCTCATGATGGGAATCAGATCATTGACATAAAAGTTGAGGTCTCAGACACTCAGGATGTGGAGGATCCGCTGCTAATAACATTACCAGAAATAAAGGCTGAACATGAGGTGAGTTGTAGATTTGAACGTGTTCTGACGATGGTGTATAACACTCAGAATTACTGGGTTTTCAGACCCAGCAGAGTAGGCATCTCCATCCTCACCTGAGGACAAACAGATTCAGTTTCCAAAACGTGTTCTCTAGTTTTTAGAATATCAGATGGTGGACAAAGTCCAAAAAAGTTAGATGTATGTTTCCTTGTCTATTGTTAGGCACTTTTCACAGATACCCAGGTTAGTCTGTTTTCTTCCTCATCCCTGTGCAGTTGTGCTTTTGTCACTGTATGAGGGTGGTTCAAAGTTGACGTGAACTTCATTTTTTTACTAAAAGAATATACATACCAGAATCACAAAACCCTTGCTCCTTTTTTATGTATTTTCCCATTACATTAGTACATTTTTTTCTGTTGTGGCAAATTACTAATGCCAGCAATACAAACATTTCCCTCCCCCTGATTGCATAGCCAATTCATGACACCCAGAGTTTGAGTCAATGATCAGTTTGAAATGTCTGTCCTCCTAGTTACCTTCACTGATGCAGGCAAATGAAAATTACTGGCATTTAAGTCAAGGCATTATTAAGGGTGGTTCATGATTTCCCAGTCCATTGCTGCCAGTATTCCCTTCATCACATTTTTGTATGTGGATTATATCCTCTGACAGTTTCCAGGTCTTTTATTCCAAATTGCTTGGCGCACGTCATTGTAAAGTAAGTAAGGGTAATACTTACTTACTTATGGAGCTGAGCCCTTCTTGAGAAGCCGCCAGTTGTGCAGCCACTCAAGAATTTCCCAGCATTTCATGGAACCTGAAGGTTCATTACCATGCTCACAAGAGCCCTCCACTGCTCTCTGTCCTGAGCCAGACCAATCCAGTCCATACCATCCCATCCTATCTGTCTAAGATCCATTTTAATATTGTCCACCCACCTATGCCTTGGTCTTCCCAGTAGTCCCTTTCCTTCTGACTTTCCCACCAATATCCTACATGAATTCCTCTTCTCCCCCATTCGTGGTACATGCCCTGCCCACCTCATCCTCCTTGACATGATCATTCTAATTATACTTGGAGAAGAGTACAATTTATGAAGCTCCTCATTATGCTGTTTTCTCCAACCTCCTGTCACTTCATCCTTCTTTGGTCCAAATATTAAGTAAGGGTAATACTATGCATTAATTGTTATGCCATGAGGAAGAAAATCGACATGAATCACTCCTGAATCCCAAAACACACTTGCCAGCTGACAACTGTGTCATGAATATTTTTGGTGGTGGAGGTTGCTTGTGATGCCATTCCATGTGGGACTTGTTTTGACACTGGAGTGATACAGTGCAGTTGTGTTTCGTCTCAGGTTACTGCTGGCTCTAAGAATGTGTTTTCCCTTCAGTTCAATCTGGTGCAGATGTTTGGCAGGCCTAGCAACACACCACACCTTCCAGTTGAACATTAACATTCTTAGGATCTACCAGGCATGCACTTTCTTCAACAATCAGTGTTTATATATAATAGTTTAAGCACTTCCAACACACACTGTAATTGGCCTGTTTCTGAAAGTCGGTTCTCTGACACAAGAAATGTTCATGTGCATACAGTTTTCAGAGAACTTATTCTAGCAGTCATAGACCCTTAACATGTGACAAAGTCTCTTCCCTATTCTCTGCATTTAACTTATGTAGAATATCTGCTTGTTTCACTATCTTTCACTAGGAAAATGATGTTTCAGTGCTGTTCTACACTAAGAGTGATCTCTGACACCATCTTGTACCAGCTCTAGTGTGTATGGCCACCATTCAGGCATTGGGTGTAGTGTTGTCACCAACTGTCCGGAATAGAGTTTCATTTTCCTGGCATGCATGTTTTCAGGAAAAATTTAAGTCTTGTTTAACTGTGAACCCCCTTAGTATATTGAAGAGCTCATTCCCAGATATCTGAAGAAGACTATTTTGTTACACACTGCTTGCTGACAATGAACTTTAAATCTGACCCTATCTGCAATCAGTGCCATGGTTGACACAGTTGATGCAGTTGCATCATCACTCTGTTGATTACTTCACCATATTCTATGATTCCTAGAGCACTGTTGCTTGTACAAGCAACACAGCACGCATATAAACTACACCAGTAAAAACAAGAACACATCACCAAGAGGGATAGATGACAATATCCACTACCAAGGAAGATAAAACATGATCCTTATGGGTTCACAAACAAATTTCTTAACTTAAAAGTAAGTTTTTAAACACATTCATAACATTTTAACGTAAAGGAAGGCTGCTCTGATTCTGTTAGGATTAACTGATGTTTATTGTTATAGTGGGTATTCCAATTTTAGCACTCTTATTTCACCATGTCAGTGCAACTTTGTCAATATATTAAAATTCACACTTCAAAGGCTCTTTGCCTTCTTTAGCAGTACATATTTTGGCCCAAGTGGCCATCATCAAGTGTATAAGACTGTACTGCTCTGTTGTTTAATAGGAAGAGCTACACTCAGCACAAAGGAAAGAAACCAACACACCGATAAATGTACACCAGCCCATATGTGCACAACAAGAGTAACCATGGCATGATACTATAAAAATAACTTAAAACATTTTATAAGCATTTGCATTACTCGTAAAATGCAAAATACAACAGCGTATGTTGCTTGAGTCATGTGATGTTCAAGCAGGAGGAGGTGGTTATGATAGCTTGTGGGCAGGGGTGGGCGTGCGTCAAGGGGAGGTTATTTGGGTATGTATTATTATGATGAGTATCTTTTATCACTAGATCAAATAGAGGGTTACATACATCTATGAAGGCATGTCTTTGAGGAGACCACATGGTAATGTCCAAAATCTACTGTGCTTAGATCCACCCCAAAACAGACCAGGGCACCTTAGTGTATGACCCTGCATCGAGGTCTTAACTGTTTGTTCTTAGACATTGTCCAGAGCACTGGGATTTCTGTTTCCACTAGCCCCCTCCTGTATTATTCATCTGGAGAGATGTGAAATCTTCATCTTTGTATTTATGCAGCAAAACTGGCAACTGAAATATTTCAGTTGTTCACCTGACCCTTCGCAACATTTACAAGTTGATCAGGGCCTCTCTCGTGCATTTATGCCTTAACTGCCTTCTTGAGTGTCTTTAATTTCCCATAGACTCTCATGTCTGACCTGTGGCCTTCAACTCATCCAGCACATAGAAGGCATACTGGCAGCCCTTATACAGGCTGTAAATAACTATATGTTACAACGCTCTGTTGTAGATAAATGGGTTCAACCTGATCATATTTTGTTAATACGCCCATGTCCAGAAACGCTTTGTTTATGCACTAGGGCCTCTGAAATGTGAAGGACTGCCCTTATCTCTCACCTCTGCGGTTTACTGGTGATATTTACCTAACATTTCTCCAAGAGATCTCACTGAGCTGCTGGAAATGTTGCCTTTGGAAGTCCGTCGTGAAATGTGGTTCCAGCATGATGGTGCCCCAGCGCACTGCACACGTCATCCGTGTGTATTTGGATGAAACTTTTGGCAACAGATGGATTGGACATGGAGGCTCAATAACCTGGCCCCCTCACTCCCCTGACTTGACTCCATTGGATTTCTTTCTCTGGGGGTACATGCAAAGCCTGGTGTACAAGACTCCAGTGGAGAGACAACCTGATCTTGTGGCAAGAATTTCAGAAGCAGCTGGAACCAACCAAGAAATGTTGGGAATCTTTCAAAGAGTTCAGCATAACATAGCCAGGTGGAGTAGAATATGCAATGAAGTTGGTGGCCGCCATTTTGAGCAACTTTTATAATGTAAAACAATAACATCCCCTAAAACTTATGCATCCTCTTGGAAACTTTTGTGGCCCTTAGTGCCAAAAGGAAGTGTTTCTGGTTTATTAACGAAATATGATCACATTGAACCCATCTATCTACCACAGAGCATTGTACCATATATTTATTTACATTCTGTATATCATGGGTATTTTGTGGAACTTCTTTCTGCCAGAAACTAATGAATATTTTGTTCACAGTTTAACCAGATGTTCTTTCACGTATGAAGACCGAGTTTCTTCTGTCACCTTCTCAGCTTTAATAGTTTTGTAAGGACAAACTGTATGTCATATATTAAGCTGTGTTCTATTTATTTGGTGTCAACCTTTGCAGTACTACCTCCACAGACTCCCAAAGTGACTAGCAGAATTTCCATGGGTATACACCACACAATATGCAATGAGTATTCCATCTCGAGGCAGGTTTGTCTTTTGTCTCTTGCTGGATATCCAGTCACATGCATTTGTTCAGCAACAAGGCCCCTGATGCATCTGCTGAAGAGACCCCCTGCTTGGAAATTTTACACCAGACAGTCTCAAACTTATATTTGCCACTTTCATCTTGGTTCTGTTTTTGTCATGGAAGGACTGTGGACCCATTCAGTGGGCAACAAATTACAGGTGATGCCATCCATGCCATCTTATGTGGCGTGTGCTGGTGGATTCTCCTGCACAAAATGTGTACAATTTTTTCGTATATCCCTGTTGATTGTCTGCGTTAGAAAAATGTGCAGATAATGAGTCTTACATGATTTATAGCAGTCAGTTCTAAATATTATATTGGGATCTGGTAGAGAACACAATTGTTGTGTTATTGTAATAAATTACTGTTTTTTTTTTATTCACAGATTATTCAGAATGCAGATCAGCTTATGCATGGTGAGGACCATCCATATTCTTGTAATCTGTGTCATAAGTCATTTGGTACACAGAGGAAACTGAAGAGACATGAGCATGTACATAATGGGAAGCGTCAATACTCCTGTCCTAGTTGTAGTAAGTCACTTGGTACTAAGAGAGATCTGAAGAGACATCAGCGCATACACAGTGGGGATCGTCCATATTCCTGTGATGTGTGTAATAAGGCATTTACTATGAAGAGTGACTTGAAGAGACATCAACGCATACATATTGGGGACCGTCCATTTTCCTGTGATGTTTGTAGTAAGTCTTTCATTGTGAAGCGTGATCTGAAGATGCATCAACATGTACATAGTGAAGAACGCCCTTATTCCTGTGATGTATGTAATGTGAAATTTGGGAGAAAAAATTATCTGAAGGCACATCATGAACGCATACACAGTATGGAGCGTGCATATTCTTGTGACGTGTGTACTAAGTCATTCACAATGAATAGCATTCTGAAGAGACATCAACGTATACACAGTGGGGACCGTCCGTACTCATGTGACATATGCAGTAAGTCTTTCCGTATGAAAAATGTTCTGAAGACTCATCAGCGCATTCACAGAGGGGAGCGTCCTTATTCCTGTGATTTGTGTAATCAAGCATTTAGTACTGGGAGCATTTTGAAGAACCATCAACGTTTACATAGCGGGGATCGTCCATATTCCTGTGACATATGTAATAAGTCATTTAGTAGGAAGGGTACTCTGATGAAGCATCAGCACTTACACAGTGAGGGGCATCCATAATCATGCAAAAGTATAATGCTATTTTTGGTGTACAACTTCTCTCAAGGTCCATCAATCTAGTTAAATGTATAGCTGTCAGATTCGTATTATGTGTCTAGCAAATCTTTGGAAGACTAAATTGCAGGTAATTCACAAATAGTGGTCAGCAGGTATGTACTTGTGATGTGTGTAAAAAGTTTGTTATAATATTTTTTTAAGATGTGTGCATGGTAAAAATTGTCCATACATATGTGATGTGTGTAAATCATTATCTACTTTGAAGACACATGAGTTTGTATATGGAGCAGTCATATTCCTGTCATGTGTGCAATAAATGACTTCTTCACCAAAGTTGAAAACACCACATGCACACGTACGTGTATGTTTTGAGTTGTTAATTTTCAGAATAATTCAAAGCTATGTGAAGGTATATGTGCTGGAAAGACTGGAAAGATCTGTTGGCCTGCGACATGTGCAGTCTTTCAGGAGAAGTGTTCTGAATATGCTGTAGCACATACTTGTGAGTGTTCCTTTTCTTTTGATTTGCGACAATTATTTAGTAAAGAAAATCTTGAGCCATGAGACATGTCAGTTAAAAATTGCTGACATTTCAGGGACCATCCCTGTTCCATGATCAGGATCTGATGTGACATAAGATTCAGGCTGTCCTATACCAGCATGCAGACCGTGATTGGAACTGAGCATGAGCCAGTGGAATGCTGGTGGGTGGAGTCATAAGTTTGTCCTGGACATGTCTTCAGATTGTTTTGTTCTCACACTGCTTTATCATATTGGTCACCAGGTACCAGGACTGACTAAGACTGAGATCCCCATCACTGTTAAGTTCCTGTGGTGGAGGCTGATCTGAGTGGTCTCCTTTATTAAGTTGTCCATGTAGCCTGGTAATTTATCCAGTATGGTGGTACTGCTGAATTTGATACTGTGGTGTATTTGCTCTATGCATGAACTGTTGAGCCACAGAGGCCTCGGGGTACATGCACAACGTGAGGGTTGTGGATTGTATTGGCGCGTTGCTAGGCGACAACTCTGTGACTGCTTGGATAGCGCAACAGGAAGTGTGAGTGACGTCACATACCCCCAATCATCCCATTGCTATGTGACGCTCAGTAAACACCCCTCCCCGCTAGGCTGTGATGTCAAACAACAGTAGGGCATCTATTGCTAGGCAATGCATGGGTAGACACGCCTGACAACAGTACCCGTCATCTGTTGCCGAGCAGCAATGTGTTTTCTATGTGGTCTGTGCCAAGCCTATATAAGGGGCAGCGAACACTATTCAGGCAGTATTGAGTATGAGTTACGAGCAGTATCAAATACTGAGGATGGGGTACTTCGAGAGTATTGTGAGTACTTGGGACTTCGTAGAAGATCTGTGAAGATTTAAGTTTGATTTAGAAGACTTTGTGTGTGCGACGGTGCAATGGATTATAAGGTTATGTAAATCAGTAATAGCGCTGTGTATCAGAATGTAACCAAGCTGTTAATAAATCCAATCATCCGAACTAGAACCTGTCACTTGTAACCCCCTACACACTACTGTGGCCTGTTTCACATTTATGTTCTGCTGCTGCTGCTGGCCAAGGTTTATGTGCCTCATGGTTCTGCCTGCCTGCCCAGCATACACTTTGCCACACTCACAGGGGACGCAACATATATCCCAGCAACTTTTAGGCCTAACTTGCCCTTTATAGGTCTGACTATGTGGATGTTTTTCTTCACAGGTATGTGAATTGTCTTATTGCTGCGTTTGGAGAGGAGCCTGCTTATTTTTCATGTTAGCCATTAGCCATCTCACATGCAACTTGCTTTTTAAAACCCTTAAAATATTTTAAACATTAAAATCTCTTCTACATCGCATTAAATACTTTGACTAACATTGGTGATCTTTAAGTGTCTCTGAAATTGCTGATGAAGCTGCTGTGCTTCCGTCCACAAGTTCAATTTTTGGGATATGCCCTCGTCTATGTGCCCATGTGTCTGTAACATGTATTACTATTTTGTGTATGATGTGTTGCTGTTTCTTATATATACTTACCCTATTGTTACGGGTAGTTCCCCTTACTGTGTCATGTGTGGCTGTTATGAATGTTTGCTAAGGTGGTTTTTTTTAACATGTATATGCAGAAATGGCCTAAGCTATGCCAATCCAGCCCTCTACAGCACATTCTTTTAAGGTTTGCTCTGTTTTATTTAAAGTGTGTGTGCTGCTATATAGTGTGTAATTGTTGTAATGTTTCAAATAGTGGGTTATAAATGTCAATATATGCAATCTATTTTTACTGATTTTATATGAGGTGGTATTGAGAAGTTCCTGGACTATTACTGTTGTAACTGTGTCGGTGAAAGATGATGAGAGGGGAGGCCAAGGTCACATTTCCACAAAGCTATTGCATCAGCCTGCCATGTGACACCATGCTGTGAACATACATTGTTTTTACATGAGCGCTTTTTCAACTTTGCATTTTGTTCTTTCTGCGATGGATGGCAAAATCGAGCAGTGTCTGCAACCAAGTATCAACAAAATGACAGAAAATGTTGAAAAAATTTGAGAACCGATCCACGAAGACCGTCGCCAAACAATCCATGAGCTTGTAGACACCGTTGGTATCAGTTATGGCGTTTTCCAGGCAATTTTGACAGAAAATTTGAACATGCGCCACACTGCTTCTTCACGACGTGCCTGCCCACACATTCCTCAAAACAACAGAACTGAGTGACTAACAGCAACATGGTTATCATTGACCAGACTTAGCCCCCGTGATTTGTTTGCAAAATTGAAACCGAAACTGAAGGGTTGACATTTTGAAACAGTGTCTGACATCCAAAGGGAATCACAAGCGGTACTCAACAACATTAAGGAAAATGTCTTCCATGGTGCTTTTGAAGCATGGAAAAAACAATGGGACTGCTGCGTACATTCCCAAGGACACTATTTTGAAGGAGGTGGCAGATAAAATTGAATACGTTACGGCAGCATTTCATTTTTGACCTAGCACAGGAACTTTCTGATACACCTCGTGCAAGCGCACATGATCCTAAGGTTCCAGTATCCATTACGTCTAAATGCACCATTTGTATGGCTGATCTCTACATCAGTTTATCCTCATTGCCTATAATCTTGACCCACTGGTCAAGGATGGTGCTCAGACCCTATGTGACAGGTCGGTATGTGTGAAATTTTTTATATATATGAGTACAGTATGGCACAGTGTGCCATGTGGTCAGTCTGTTCACTTCCACAGAGATCTTTGTTGGCATGGATACTGGTGAGATAGTGGAGAAAACCCTGAATCTTCCTGTTTCCCCACACAACAGACATGTTGTTCATGTACCTCTACCAGTGTGCCAGATTCAGAGTCACTGAGTTAATGGCCTGTTGAAATAACTCTGTGTAGAAGTTGGCTGTTACAAGAGTGAGGGGCAATCCCACAGCTACACCATCTCATTGGTTGCAGAAGAAGCCACTGTAAAGGAAAATAAGTTGTGAGGATACACTAATGTCTTTTGCCTGGGATGCCAGTGGCACTGTGTAGCTCTTATCATTTTCAGTTGGGGACAAATACTGAGAGTTTTTATGCTATGTCTCATACCGATTCAGTGGACTTAAATGTGTAACAGTATATATGTCAGTTATTTTGTTTATTTAGTTTCTGATTCAAAGTATATGAATACATTTCAGCCAAGTACAAGTGGTAGTGATCATTCCAGTGGTTACAATAGTAACATTCACAAAATGGTTCCAAATGAACACAATTTCCTATAAGAACGTGTCTCTGAAGAAAAACAGGCTGGACCTTGACTTCTATAGATGCCAGGATCTGACATACAAAGCATTTTGTCAACTGTTTCAGGTGTATGAAAGGAGGAGGCGTTTCTGTCAACCAGAAAACAAGAATTCCAAACAGACAGAACCAGACATCCAAAAAGATCCTTTATGCAGATCAGTTTTAATATTGTGCCAAATGCGAATTCCCCACTGTGAAAAATTTTAACGTGTGATGAAAAAAAAAGTATATAAATTCCTATGTCGTACATTCCAATACCAGTTTCCAAACGCGGCTGCTGCACGTGTGCGGAAAGACAAATCCGCAACACCAAATCTCCCTCTTGCTTCTCCCCAAACTTGGAGATCAATTGTGTTATAGTTATGGAAAATTCGTTTTCAACGGAGTTTCTAGCAAGGGTTACTAGTGCCAACTGCACAAGTCAGGACCACAGCACTTAAAAAGAGCATAAGATGGCAAAAACAAAATAGTGATGGAGAACTGGGACCTGGTGTGTTGCTTGAGACTGTGGGCGAAGACAAATTACTGGCTGTGGTTTGACAATACGTCTTGTTGGTGCGCAACTTCTACTAAGAGTTTTATGCTGCCACACAATGCACACAATTTCACATGAACTGGTGATCGTTTTTGGACAAAGATGTGATGACAGCTGCTAGTCGCTCGTGATGTTGGGTCACTGCATTCGCTTTGGGTTGAAAAATGTTGTAATTCAGCATTACCAACCAACGTGGAAATTTCCATCCTCAGTTGTGCTTGTTCATATCGAGGAAGCTTTTTCACAGTTTTCGCCATAGACATGAAAAAATGGTCTGTCTCATCAAATTGATTTTCAGGAGAAGTTACGTGCCGCTGAGCTATTTGTTTAAGCAACTGCAATCGTTCCTCAGATTGTGATGACCTTTTCCTCTTTTTTGGTGGCTGCGCGTTGTCCAAATTTTGTCTCCTTTCATTACAAATGTTCTCCATCTCACCTTCCTCCAAGAGTTCCTCATGTTGGGTGATGTCACTTTCTTCGCTGTTAACCTGTGTATCCTCCTCCGTAGCCACAGTCTCGGTAATTATGCCCTTACTATTCTCATCTCCAACAACATTGGTAACAGTGCTGAAATTTAAAATAACATATTATAATACCATTAGTAAGATACTCATAAATAGTGACCCAATGCATCTGTTCAATGGGAAAGGTATCTTTTTTCTGACTTTCCAAAACAAACGTTACAAGGGGGAAAAAAATTAATTTTACTCGACTACGAAGGAGACGGGTTGTGTTTAACAGTCCATGCATGTACATTCCTTCTGCTACCTTCTTTTTGATGAACTGAAGCCATCTAAGAATGATAGGAGAACAGACCTCTTCTTTGCTGCCTCACCACTGGAACCAGTGTCAAGTTTTCCTCTCCGTCTAATATAATAATCTCTTACGTAGGCCCACCTCTTGCTGCAGTCAACATCTGCAATAAATAAGTTTGTAAATTAAAACATTTCTTATAACTTCCTTTTTTTCTTTCAGGTACTTGGCCACAGGAGAGTCATTCAGATCACTTTCTTTCCAATTTCGAATATGCCATTCTTGGATAAGTGTCATAATAAAACAAGTTGCTGACAGCATCACAAAATCTACGTTCAATTTAATAATGCCATCACCAACAGAGGCACAACTACGCAGAATTGCTAATACATATTTGTCAACATGGAATTTCCCAAACTGTGTGGGAGCGATTGACGGGAAACATAAGGAAAAGGGCTCCCGAAAACAGTGGATCGACATTCTTTAACTACAAGCAGTTTTATTCAATCATTATGCTAGCAGTTGTCGATGCGGAATGCAAATTTGTTGCAATAGACGTTGGTTCTTATGGCAGAAGAGACGCAGGTATCTCCTTAAAAAGCAAAGGATAAAACACGCGGACCAATACATTTAATATACCTCCACCAAAAGCATTGCCCGGAACAGATAATGTACCACACGTGATTGTTGGAGACGAAGCTTTTGCTTTACACGAAAATTTGATGAAACCCTATCCGAGAAAGCAAACTTTGAGTGATCCATCAAAAGCTGCATATAACTATCGACTATCTCGAGCTAGAAGAACGACTGAAAATGCTTTCGGAATTTTATATGCTTATTTTCGAATATTTTTCCAGCCGATCGCTACCATCGCTACTGTCCCAGAAACTACCGACAAGTTGATTATATGTGCCTGTATTTTACATAATATGTTACGGGAAGCAAAAATATTCGCTCCAACTCAAGTGCGTTTTGATGATGCACTTCCATCACCTACAGAAAATGTATTCCCTCTAGCAGCAAATAACGTCCGTGCACGAAAGTCACCCACGCAAATCCGAGAAATATTCAAAACCTATTTCTTAGGTGGCAGAATAATTATGCAAAACATTACTAAGAAACCTAATTTTTATCCATTGTAAACAATGTAGTTATTTTAAAAACATGTAGGCTAAAATGTTTCAACATAAAAATAAAATATATTTATATATCATACCTGTTTTATTAAGTGTATCGCCGATTTCACACCACAGATTTTGCTTCAGCTGGGCTTGTCTGTAGTATTTGCTCTTCACATTATATAACATCTCATGATTCTTCACAAAATCTATTAACAGTTCGTCGTCTTCGCTACTCCAGCACGTCATGTTTTGAGTCATTGCAAACGAAAAGTTCACCGCACCTGCCACCGTACCGTACAAAAACGTTGCTAGAACTGTTTGCCGCCGCACTCACCGCCGTCATACAAATGGCGGCACCGCTATTTTACGTGGCAATTGTGGTCAACGCTCTCTAGGAAACAATGTTCCTTTATTTCTTTGGCAATGTTTTAGTGACGTCATTCACCGTCATATTACGGCCGCTACCCGAGGAAACAAACCACTTTGAAATAGATCGTACTGTTTTCTGTTAGGCAGATCCGTGTCTCAGATGATTGAAGTAATTCTGTCCTCGGTTGATAATCGCTGAGTGCTCAAAAGCTGCTTGATGTTGGAGTTACGGTAGTTGAGAACGTTGAGAATGATGAAGGTTAAAGAGCGTTGAATTTTGTTTTGGTAATTACATGTCGAACATCGGTTGAAGCGCTGGTTTTTAATAAATACCGGTTTAAGACTAGTTTATTTCATTTTACGTATTTATTGAGCATCCGTTTGGCGTGTATGTGGACACTAAACTGTTTCGTGGTGCACCAGTGAGAACGTAAGTTTTGAGAAGTAAAACAGATCGTTTGATTGTGTTGTTTAATATTAAATCGTTTGTTATTTTTTGTGTTGGACAGTGTATTAACCTTTAAATATAGACAATATAATGCGATAAAAGGATCCTATTTTCAATTCAGTAACTTCGCCGACAAGCGGCGGTCGCTCGGTCGGTATAGTTCACTTGCGGAGTACAGGCCACGGAGTTAGTTAATTAGTAATTTAAAGGGATAACTATAACAACTTCTGGGATGTAAATTCGTATAAAGCCCAATAGAAGTTCACCGACGTATCAGAAAAAGATACTACTTCCGTGATGATGGTCGAAGAATAAGCGAAGAAGATATCCAGAAAATCTGCTTGCTTGCATTGCTCTTCAGCCCAGAAAATGGAGGAAGTTTGTTTTTTCCGAAATGTCGGTTAATTTCTACCGGACTACAGTACGTTACATCCTGGAAAATAGTAAATACGATTTAAAGTTTGTGATTATCTGAAAATTACACATCTTAATTTTAATTTGAAATAACGGTTTGGAGATAGGGCTGTGGCCCCACCGCCCAGTTGATTCAGTATCCCCAATCTCCAAAGATGTGAGCCTTTTTATTGTCGTTTCTTTATTTGAACTTTATATTATTGGTTTGCATTAGAAGGTATTTCGATGGTTTTCAAAACTTAAAATATTTGATCCACAGCTGTAAGGAGTTCATGGTATACCATTGTTGTGAGAAGGAAGTTAAGAGTAGTTTGTATTAAGGCAAATAACCTTAAATAGAAACATAATGTAATAGCAGGTTAGAGAGATTGGGTAGGTTAGAGTATGTTGGGTCAGCAGCTTTATAAATGAGCCTTAAATTCAGTAAGATGTATATGTAATCAGTAACTTACTTCCTGCTTCTGCTAGTTTGGCATACTCTCAACCCCAAAAATGGACATATGTTCATCTGAAATATGGGTAATGTCCAGACTATGTGATTTTAAATCCCAAAGCCTGTGCTTCAGGGTCAGTGTCTTGATAACCTCAAATCTAATGCATATGAATTCATTCAAGTTGACTTTCCTCTCTGCACACTACCTGCCTCCATCCTGAGTAAAGTTTTGCTGTTTTCTTCTTTTGTATCTTTACTTCATTTGTATGTCCTATGAATAAAATTAATTTTTGTGCAGAAAGGTATGTGGGGCACACAGCAGTGTAGTTGGTTGAGGTGCAATGCTATAAGCCGGAAGGTCACGGGTTCGAGTCCTGATGAGGTCACTGGATTTTTCAATTGACCTAATCCTTCCAGTGGCACTATGGCCCTGGGGTCAACTCAGCCTCTAACAGAAATGAGTACCAGGAATCTTTCTGGGGGCTAAAGGGCAGCCAGCGTGTAAGGCTGACAACCTTACCACCATCTGTGAGCCGATTGTCTAGAGAAAATGTGGGAGCCTCAACGTTTCACAACCCTATGGGCCTCCACATCCTGCGACAGGGATAGCAGAAATCTATGTGAAACAGTACTTTACATGGTTGCTAGGTCCTAGCACAACTTGTGGGGGTGAGGCAGATATTAAAGCAAGATTTGGTGAACAGTATATGCAACAGCTGTGGTTTTTGGCACAGAGGCGTAACATATAATTAGAGGTACCCAAGGTTCTCAAAGTTTCACTCCAAACCACACCAATACTTTTGAAGTAATTAATTTTTTTAAAGAATTCGACTTTCCAAAAATTGTATATTATTACTGAAAGCTTAATATTTAGAGTAAGTGTAGAGATGGAGACAGTGTATTCCTCCAAAACATCATTGAACTTTACGAAAGTGCCTGGCGACACATCCCCCAAGATAGTGCTCCTTATTCATAATTTTATTTGAAGCTGTAAATAAGAATAATTCTGTGTACATCTGAACCATATATACATCTGTATATCTGTATAATTCAAAACCCACTATAGTGGGTTTTGAATTGGTCTGTATTGAGTGAGTCAGATGAAGATAACCAAGAAATCAAAATTGACCAAGATTTCACACTTTGTGCGCTTAAGATGTAAGTATCTCTGGATGAACTTTCATCTTTCTGTCTCAGGCATTCTGGACATGTAGGGTGAAATTTTCTAAAGTGCCATGTCCAGGTGTCTGCCTCATCAGACTATGGCACGGTTTAGTTGGGACAGATTGTGCGTTGATCTTTGGATTGTGTGTCAGAAATTCACTTTCTGTTGTAAAAGTTAGAATTATTCCTATGCTTAATTAAGCAAACACTATGTCATGGAGATATATAGAGGTGTGGAGGTGTAGCTCCATGCATTCTTAACCTTGGCACTAGATGAAGGCGAACAGTCACCTTCACCTGGTACCCATTGCATGAAGGACTGGGTGCGCCCCAGAATCAGTACAGATGCTATGAAGACAAAGAGAAAGATCTGATCGTTGCTGAAAGTTGAACCCCCGTTCCATAACCCTCTAGGCCATAGCCTGTTGCTATACCAACTAAGGTATCCTGGCTCCCCCTTGGTGTTGTGTATTGAATCAAAAAGGACTTCATATTTAGTTACAACATTTAATAAAATTAATATCAGTACAAATGCAATATAAATAATTAGAGCACAGAGTAGACACAGTAAATAACACAAGTTCAACTATGAAACGTTGATATACGAGAGAGGGTCAGTAAATAGGTAACAAACATAAAACAAGTGATGTTCAAAGCTGGGAAAAACGTGTATTTCTTGACATATCCTCCACCAACACTGATACACTTGTCCCATCACTTTACCAGTGCGTCAAAACACGCAGCATAGAAGTCTTTTGACTGCTGTCTCAGCCACTTCCGCACCTCCATTTTAACCTTTTCATCATCAGTAGAACGTTTGCCACCAAAGTGGAATCACTTTATGTCACAAACACTTCCCACCATAAACGGGAAACATTTCTTTATGAATATCCTTTGCATTGGGTCCTTGTGCACACAAANCGCACCTCCATTTTAACCTTTTCATCATCAGTAGAACGTTTGCCACAAAAGTGGAATCACTTTATGTCACTTCCCACCATAAACGGGAAACATTTCTTTATGAATATGCTTTGCATTGGGTCCTTGTGCACACAAGCAATGCAGAACAGAACACTGATTTTCAGTAGTATACTTTTCAAGCATGGTCACCATTTTGACTCATGAAACCAGCCTCTGAACATGCGAATGCTCGTCTGCAGCATAGACCGTCATGAAGCTGGCCTATGCTGCTACATAGTGATAAACACAGAAAACCAGTTGTGTCCATTACAGCTGTTTTACTTCTATTTATGACCTGTTTACTGACCTCCCTCGCATCTATGAATTGTGAACACAAGTTTTCTCTTCTTTTCATTTTTTTTCTAGTGTTTTGCACATAACAGTTTTCAAAACTTTTCACATCTGCATTATTCTCAAATACCAAAGAAATTTAAAGACTGCAGTTGTCAAGAAAGCATGTAATTTTTTTAATTACATTGTAACATATTAGTAACACCATAAGCAGAACTACTTCTTGCACAGGCATCCTCCCACCTGAAAGTAACACTCTGTTTGCTTTTACATTTTGTTCTTGTGATGTGCTCAGTCTGAGACATCTCTAAGGGTATGTCATACTGTAGCTCAGCAAACCTTTGGAAGAAAAGTCTTTTGTGTTCAGCCAGATGTCTGGTATGGTGATTTTTGTTCCAGTCGATGTTGAAAATAGAATCTAGTAACTTTCTGATGATGATCAAACGATCTATGTCACTGCTTAATAACGACACACCCTCAAAGACGTTTTAGACACAATATATCTATGTTCACTTCAGGTGTTTTTTTTTTAGCAAGTATGACCAATCTTACTCGTCTTATGCATTACAAGTCTGTGCTGTCAGGGATATGTGCATGAAAGGTTTTTCTGTTTCTGAAATATTATGCACTTCACTCATGAGTGTCTGTGGATGAGAAACCCAAAGCTTTTTACATCAGTTTTCTGCACTGATTATTCTTGTTGCATGCACTTTCATTGGCCATGGCTTTATTTCATTGTCATGAGGACCGTCAGTATTGTATCTGAAGCCTCAGTAGAAGCTGCCTGGCCTGCCCATTGAGTTGCATGCACAATTTCTCCAACCTGCCCCCCCCCAATTTTTTACTCATTCATGTAGTTTTCTACTTCTCCTTCACCCTTGGTGTTTGTTTGGTTCATTTGTCATTCTTTATATACATGGATATTTTTATGAACACAACCCCAACCACCCGCTTAATGAGACCAAACCTGTACCTCAGAATCATTGAACACAATACTGTACAGTCATGTGTATGCTACATTGTCAGCTTTGGGCCCCTGATATATTGTTATAGTAATTCTTGTTTTTCTCTGTATTTTTGTTTTCATTATGGATGCAATTTTGTGTATTGGCTTCCAGATTTGTAATTACAGTGACAGACAATATATATTAATAAGTGGTATAACATTAGTATTTATGTTGAAACTGCCATGGTACCCTAAACAACACTTTGTAGGATCCAATTTGTGTATCATTGGCCAGTGTGTTTTGTTCAAGACTTTTACATGGTATGTAACTTCATGAATGTGCATAAAAAAGATACCTGTCAGTTTGCATACATAAATATGTCCTTTGGTTCTCACTGTACTGAGTTTTCATTGTAATTATTGACAGATTACATCACATAAAACCAAATACATCATTTTGATTACTGCAACAATAGTAAACATATCCTCAAACTTCCTTGTATGTCCATTGTAGCTTATTTATAATTAAACAGATTCCAATTTGTAGAGGTTATGTATAGCTCTAATATCAGACAAGCAGTACTGCTAAATTTATTACATAATTATTATTATTATACATAATGTTAATGTGTACCCTTGAGTGATAGATCTTTGTGTGTGTTGTTGCATTTATTTACTGCATTGTAATCTATTAATGTTTCCCTGAATATCCCTCTCAAGTGGAATTCACATCTCATCCTGGAGACTGGCTATACTGACAGGATTCTCATGGTTTGTCCCTGTCCCTTCAGATAGAAGATAGGATAGTACCGCAAATTAGGCCATGACTGTTTCGTTCCACTTCTTTTCCAGTTTATTCACTAATCATTGAGTCATTTGATTCTGTATTCTTAAAGTTACTGTCAGTATCATTAAATAAATTGTAGATAGATAAATATTAATAATTTAACAGCAGCTGCTCACGGTGTACCGTAAAGTGCAGAGTTAGTACTCCGAAACCATAATCATTTTGTAACCCGGCATCAGATATAATTGAATTGTTTTCATATGTATTCACGCCAAACCCTTCTACATTTTGTGTTCATTTGGCTAGCAAACATTCTAAAACTGTGGAAAAAGTATGAGCAAACTGCAGGTCAATATCTTGATGTTATTTGCATTAGGATTTTCGCTGACATCAGGTGCTTGACAAGTCTGTTTCACACCTACTGGCCAGGATAATTTTAGTAATGTTTAGATGAGACTGCATAATGAGGAGCTTCATATCTTTTACTCTTTGCCAAGTATAATCAGTGTGATCAAGTCAAGGAGGATGACATGGGCAGGGCATGTACCACACATGGGGAGAAGAGGAATGCATGGAGGGTTTTGGTGGGAAAGCCAGAAGGAAAGAGACCACCAGGAAGACCTAGACATAGGTGGGAGAATAATATTAAAATGAATCTTAGAGAAATAGGATTGGTTAGAAGAACATTCTTCCTCTGGAGTTGAAGGTTGCTACATCACATGTAGTAGAGCCTAGGGATAATTAAATTGCGGCTCACTTTAGTAAATTCATCATGAGTTTTGTGTTTTTTTATTGAATGGTATGAAATTCCTTCTAATTTTTGTGATCTTGTATTGAATGGCATCGGGTTCCTCAGACATCTCATGTTCTTGTATTGACTGACAAATTCCTAGGAATTTTTTTTTGTACTTGTATTGAATGACACTAAATCCTTCAGAAAATTTTTTTGTACTTGTATTGAATGACACTAAATCCTTCAGAAAATTTTGTTGTACTTGTATTGAATGACACTAAGTCCTTCAGAAAATTTTGTTGAATTGGATGACAAATTCATTAAGAGTAGCATTGTATTTATCAAACTGTAGTCAGTGAAGTCAGAGTGGAAGAACATTAAATTATGGAATCAATGACAATGCCACTATTAACAAACAGCAATGCAACAGCGTGGAAAGTGTCATACTTTCTAGCTGAGATATCAAGATGTCTGACATCTTTTAAATGCAGTACTGGACTATGATAATAAAGTTTACTTGAAGTAAATGTGACTGGAAATTTAAAGAATTTTTGCTGTTTCATTTTCTTGGCAGTGACTAGCTAAAAATATTTATCACTGTATGTGGCAGTGTATTTGTACCTCAAGCACCAGTTCTTTCTACCCACTTATGTTAATGTTTCTTCTGAACACCATCTCACCTGACGCGTTCTTCACTTTGTTTTGTGAGAATGCAGCTAAAGAAAATCGCAACTTCCAATGTTTTCACCTCTGTACCTTGAGAAATCTGTGATTACTGCATCTTCCATCCATGCAAATTCTTTGATGCAGCCACTGAATGTTGACATAAAGTGGCCTGATGTTTCTTCTTTCACAGACTTCTCTCCTGGGAACCCACCTGAAAGATACCAGCAATAGGAGACTAATGTTCTAAATTCTTAGCACTGTCTAAACAGGACATGCCTGANAATAAAATTCAAATTAGAGGTTATGATGCACTCATGTGAGTAAAGAAGGGTACCAAGAATCACATTGCAGACACTTCATGTTAATGCCTGTGGTTACTGTCTGTATTGGTAAATAATAAATTTCATAACCCCAATGGGTGTTCTGTGTTAGATCTGTGATTGTAAGCAAGAAACTGACAGAACTGATGGCAGTAACACTTGTATTTTGGGGGGGAGTGAGCTCAGTTGGAATCTTGGGTGGCACCTTGGTTGTGGTGACAGGTTTTTGTGGCTTTAAATGAATCTCTCCAAGCAAATGCCAGGATAGTACCTCAATTAATTCACAACCACCAACTTACAAATCTCCTCCATATCATCACTTATAAATCATCCTGCCATTTGACACTGTATAGTCTGAAACTTAACTTGGTTCATCCTGGTCTGTCACACTAGTAACTGTACAAGATTTTAACCACCATCCAGTGTGATTGATAAAAGTTGTGTTTTTAATTTTTAATCCTTTATGTGTATGGGTCAAAACCGCCATCTTCAGAAGGGTAATATCAACATGTATAGGAACTGTTATTACCAGTTATAGATATTAATATTATATCTTTTAACTAATGCTAAGACAATGTATGATTTGTTAACACATCTGAAAATTATTACAGTAAGTCTGTTTATAGGTACTGTACAATATTTGTTGTAATCTAGAACCAATTTGATTCGTGTTGTTACACTTCTTCTTAAAGGAAGATGAGTGTATTCTGAAGATCGTTGCTTTGACCGAAACATGTAGAAGATAAAAAATTAAAAACACAACTCTTATCAATTGCAGTGGACAGTGGTTAGAAATCTTATATATAGTCTGCATATCGACAGCATCATAAAATAACACCCCACACATACATGTAACTAAGAGAAACGTTACATTTTTATATACTTTAGAGATACATATTACAATAAACCTCACAGACTCTAGATTCTAAAGGGTTCTGACAGTGGTATACAACACACAGAATTACTGGATTTTTTGGACTTTTTCCATTGTCCTGTATTCTAGAAAATAGAAAACATGCCATTTCGGAAACTGAATCTGTTTCTGTCCTTGGGTGAGGGGGGAAGACACCTACTCAGTTGGGCCCCTTAGAAAGAACTTATCTCCTGTAATTGAGATTAGCTCTTTCTAAGGGGTACAACTTAATAGGTGTTCCCCCCTCCCATCCCCCCTCACATGAGGATGGAAACACATCCAGTTTCCAAAACATGTTTTCTCTTTTCTAGAATACCGGACGATGGAAAAGGTAGAAAAACCCAGTAATTCTGTGTCTCACTGACTCTGTTTGGTACTCAGATGTGACATTTATACAACAGTATAGTTACTTCTCCAGTTTAGTCCCCAGATCTTCACAACCTAGTTCTCCAGAGTCCATTTTAATATTATTCTTTGTGTATGTTTCACTCTTCTGAGCTGTAAATTTCCAATTTTGTGCTTTTCTTGTTTCTCCTTGACTGCCTTAGCAGTGCTGAACGAGGCATACAGCTGTATCTGTTCTCATTAAGTTATTTTCTTCTATTTTAGTATTTTTTCATTTGAATTGGTGGCTGAATTGAGTGCAGATACATTTCAAAGAACAGTTCACATTTACAGAAATTCATTGTTCTACAGTGCTACATTTGGCATCACTGTATGTTATATTCTTGGTCCCCCTCCCCCTCATTTGCTTACTTCCAAACCTTAGAACATGTGATTAGTGCTGTCAATTCTAATAAAAACCTGTAATTCGCCTTTTATACAAGTATACAGTGTGTCATTCTCAGACACCATAAATTTCTGTTCTTTGTATAGAATGAAGTTTCATTCTCGTATAAAATAATAATACTTTGGCTTTATTTTCTTAAGAACAAACTGAGAATACACATGTTATGCTGCTAAAATAATTCTGATCTTCTCCACTGTAGCCCTGGGAGTCATAGAAGGCGATGAAAAGGGAACCCCATGCCTGGGGGTATAACTGGGCCACCCTGTCACTTGGGGACATAAATACAGGGACCTGGTCCTCCAGGTTGGAGTCTTGGACACAAGGCTGACAACCTTGCTCTGTAAGAAATTGTTGCGAAATCCAAATAAGTGAAAACCAGCTGCAGTTCGGCAGAATTGTCTAAGGAAGACTGTGGCTTGAAAATGGCTGTTTTGCCAATTATGATGATGGTGATGACGACGAGGACACTGATAAATAATTCAGAAACCCCTCACCATCATGCCTTGTTCATACCCTTCAAATCCCTGCCACTGACTAGGAGCTGAGATTACTCAGCGGTATAGTGACACACTAGAGGCAGGACAGCGAGGAATTTGGCTTCAATTCCCAGCACAGGCAACAGATTTTTCTGTTCTCCACAGTATCCAGATCAGCTCTGGGGCTTACCCAGCTTCGTGTCCAGTGCATACTGGGGACTCTTCCCCAGATGGAAATTTGCCAGGGCATGTAGCTAACCATTCTAGCCCCATGTAGTTCTGAGATTAAGAATGCGTAGAGCTACACCTCCACTCTCCATGTGTCTTCATGGCATGGCGCTTAACTAAGCACAGGGACATTACCAAAATGGTGCTCAGACCCCCTCAAGTGCCTGATGGGCTATCTCTGGATTGAACCAGTGACTGTATGAGCTATGGCATGGCTACTAGTAGTATACAAAGAAAAAATTTTTGTCATGACTAGGTTAAAGTTGTACTTACCCAGATAAAAGATACCATCTGTGGTGAGAGGTTTACTGTTTTGATGTTCCTGCTCGCTTTTAGAATGCACTAACATATTGTCCATCCACAGTGTGATATTGGCGGGGCTGAGGCTTAGAATTAAATTGTGCCATTCTCCGTCAGCTACGGAAGCTCCTGGTATCAGAACTTTATTATCCTTTGGTCCATTCCATCCCCATACCAACTTGAGTAAACCTCTGTCAGTGCCAACCCCAATGAACTCTTCATCCTGTTGGTACAGACAGTATATTTATTAGAGGTATTAATTAGTGGCTTTTATTAGGACTACATAGATGAGAAAGGAATTAAACTTGTTTAACTTAAGGAGTAAAGTTACAAAAACAAAAAACAAACAAACTCCATGATTTTAGTCTGCAAGCGAACTATACTGACCGAGCGACTGCCGCTTGTCGGTGAAGTTTAGTGCCAACTTTTTGCGGATAGAGGGTGTCGCGCAGTGAGTGCAACAAATCCCCATGGCTGTTAATTTCGTTTTTCTAGCCGCTATTTCCTTGAAATCACTCCTGAATTATCAGCATGAGGCTGAGTGGACCCCATTTCAGACCCACTACTTCTCATAAATAATCTGGTAGCGCTGGGAATCAGACTCAGACCTGTGGATCTGTAGCCAGGAACGCTGACCACCAGACCACAGAGGCAGTGCAAAAGAATGAAGTTACAGTTAGCAGAATTTACATGCCATGTGCCAAGATTGGAAATATGTTGTAAACCAAGACAATTAATGGATTAAGTAGCTCAGTGGGTATAACAGTGGACTGTATGCTCGACAGCTGAGAAACTGGGGTTTGGGTCCCAGCAAGGGCAAGAGATTTTTTTTTGTCCACAGGATCATGACCAGCTGTCAGCCCAATCCCATGTCTAATGGGGATCCAATAGCAAAGCACCCAGGGCTTGAAACTGACCACTCACCTTCATTCAGTGTCCAGGTTAGGAATACATTGATTTATACCTCCACTCCTCTCTACACCTTCATGGCATGGTGCTGAAGTAACCAATCAGAGGGAAAATTTACCTTTATACTTACAGGAAGATTAACCATTGGGCGGTGATGGGATAAACATAATGGGCAGAATGGAATTGAATGTCCAAACAGTGTTTATTATGTTCATCTATGGGTACAGGCACAGTAGGTTTCATTTGGAAGAACTGAATGAAAGTTTATTAGATTCATGGAATTCAGAAATAGATTTTCTTAAAGCAAAATTTGGTTGGGAAACATTTTGGAAAACAGCCTCTCAGAAGGCTAAGGAGGAGATTGGATAACATTGTAAGGATGGAAGGTGATGGAATTGGCTGAAGATTATGTCCAGTGGTGAGCTTTGGTGTGATGTTGAATTTTTTACTCCCAGATTGTTAGAACATTGTTAACCATACCTGCAGCTTGGGTTTGCATTATATATTATAGTTATTTGTGTGATTAAATGGTGATTTTCAGAAGTTTGTTTCTAAAAATGAAGGATAAACTGGCAATATTAGAATTTTCTCTGCAACTGTGGTTCTGTTTAAATAGTGGTAATGATTCAGCGCACAGATGGCACTGAGTTTGTCAGCCTCATGTGCCATCCATCTTTTACCCCCAGGAAGATTCGAGATACTTATTTCTGTTAGAAGCTGAGTTGATCCCAGGGCCGTAATGCGGGTGGAAGGATTAGGTCAATTGAAAAATCGAATGACCAGGAATCAAACCCTTGACCTTCCAGCTTGTAGCATAGTGACTCAACCAACTACTCTACCATGTGCCCCCAATAAACGAATGTTAATACAGCAATATCGGTTTATTTATTTGGAGATGGTTGTGTTGACGGCCATATAATAATACCACATATTGATACACAACAGGATGCATACAATAATAATTATAAATGTCACACTTACAATATTCCTTATAGAAGTATACGGGGTTCTCACTGTCATGAAACATTTGCAAGATCTGTTATACTTTGCTGCTTTATATGGCTAGAAGTAGTGTCCATTCATCACCTATGTTATGGTTCCTTATTTTGTCTCTGTGTATATTAGCAGAAACTTTGAAAATAGAGTAGCACTGACAGTGAGAAATCAGAGTTTACTCATGTACTTTAAAAAAAATGAATATGAGAATTCAGATCATGTCCAGAAACTCCACTGCAGTGTCTGCAAATCACTTTAACAGCCAGGATACACAGTAGCATAGTTGGTTGAGGCACTATCCTACAAGCTGGAAGGTTGCGGGATCGATTCCTGATGAGGCCATTGCAGTTTTTCAATTTACTTAATTCTTCCAGCCGCACTGTGACCTGGGGTTTGACTCAGCCTCTAACAGAAATGAGTACCAGGAATCTTCCTGGAGGGTAAAGGACAGCCGACTTGTAAGGCTGACAGCCTCACTACCATCTGTGAGCCGATTGCCTAGAAGATGTAGGAGCCTCGATGTCTCACAACCCTATGACCCTCCATTGCCTGTAGGGATAGCTTTACCTTTATTCTAACAGCCATGGCTACTGTATTATGGAGTAAATTTCCTAATAGCGTTCAGTGTTCTATATTGGGTTCACAGTAGGAAGCAGAAGAAACAGAAAAATTGCATATATATATCCTTGATAAGACTGTAGAAATGTGGCTGGAATTTGATTCTAATTCTCAAATTGTATGCCAGCACAGACACATGCAAAGAATGCCACGTGTGTGCAATTGTGTTACATTAGAAATTTACCTTTGCACTCCACATAATCATTCCATCAAGTTCAGCGGTCGAGAAATTAAGATACAGGAAACTGATATCGACACCTTCCTGTGGACCTCCTTCAGCACTTCTTGCAACCCGCACAGCTTTCTCCACCACCAGATAACTGTTGCCAGCAAAATGAGGGGATCCCAATTTTACAGCTGCAAATAAACCGTACTTTATTCTCTTTTTTTCTTCAATCACAGTTTATAGATACGAGGCTCGTCCACAAAGTAAGTTTCCCTGGGGCCGTTTACAGAAACAAAACACAATTTCATGGAAATATTTATTGCAACAGATACAGCAAGTGTTCAGCTATTTTTCAACATAATCAACACCGGAATTGAGATATTTGTCATACCGTGGGACCAACTTTTGAATACCTGTGTCATAGAAGTCTGCTGCCTGGGATTGGAACCACTGTGTGACAACCATCTCCGCCTCTCTGTCATTCTCAAAACGCTGCTGCTCACCGGACAGGAATTTCTTGAGGTGTAGGAAAAGACGGAAATCACTGGGAGCGAGGTCCGGGCTGTAGGGTGGATGATTAAACACCTCCCAGCTGAACTCCTGCAGGAGACTTGCTGTCCATCAAGCCGTGTGTGGCCTAGCGTTATCGTGCAGGAAGACAATACCGGCACTAAGCATCCTGCGCCGCTTGTTCTGAATGGCCCATCGCAATTTCTGCAGTGTTTCTCAGTAACGCTCAGCATTCACCGTCTCACCTCTGGTCAGGAAGTCTACGTGGAGAACGCCCCGTCTGTCCCAGAATACCATGCACATCACTTTCCGCGCCGACGTCTGCTTGAATTTCGTCTTACAGGGAGATCCACTGTGACGCCAGTGCATTGACTGCTGCTTGGTTTCTGGGGTAATGTGTGCAATCCACGTTTCATCACCTGTGATGATCCAGTCCAGAAACTCGTCGCTGTCATCATGGTACCGCTGCAGAAAGGTCAGTGCTGACTCCATGCACTTTGTTTTGTGTTCTGGTGTCATTTGCTTCGGCACCCACCTGGTGCACAATTTTCTGAACAACAGATGCTCCGTGACAATTTCGTGCAACAAGGTGCGGGAAATCTGCGGGACATGACTGCTGAGTTCCGCAATTGTGATGCGACGATTCTCCATAATGCGTTCGTGCACAAGCTCCACCAGGTCGTCTGTAATGATGGATGGCCACCCACTGCGCTTCTCATCATGCACACCTTGTTGGCCTGCTGAAAATTATCTGCACCATCGACACCATCTGCTTGCTCATGACATTAGGCCCATAAACCCGGCACAGCTGACGATGAATTTCGATCAGCGCTGTGCTCTGTTCATTGAAAAATTTTATCACTGACCGCACTTCACAGTTGGCGGGAGTTGGAATAAGAGCCTCCATCTTCAACAGCTGCAACGATGCTACTGTGGAAATGCGAGAAATTCTGTTTGTGCATGCGCCATGCTACGTCATTGCTCTATCACGTACGCGCAGTCGCTTCGCGCAATATAAGGTTTGCTAGCTGTGGGATGAGTGGGAAACTTACTTTGTGGACATGCTATGTATATGTATGTCAGTCATTGTAATGTAAAGTCTTATTAAAATATATTCACTCACTCTTTGAGCTGAGCCCATCTTGAGCAGCCACCAATCATGCAGCTACTGAAGAACTTCCCAGCATTTTATGGAACCTAAAGGTTTATTACTGTGTCCACAAGAGCCCTCCACTGGTTCCTGTCCTGAACTAGATCAGTCAAGTCCATACCATCCCATCCTGTCTCTAAAATCCATTTTTATTGTCTACCCACCTATGTCTTCATCTTCCTAGTGGTCTCTTTCCTTCTGGCTTTCCCACCATTACCCTATATGCATTCCTCTTTATTTCAGTTCGTGCTACATCCCCTGCCCATCTCTTATCCTAGGCTTGATCATTCTAACTACTTGGCAAAGAGTACAAGTTATGAAGCTACTCATTGTGCATTTTTATTCAGTCTCCTGTCACTTCATCTCTCTTTGGTCCAAATAATCTCAACACCCTCTTCTCAAACACCATAGTCTATGTTCCTCACTTAATGTTTTGTATATTCTAAATTTTACGTTTTTAGACAGACAAGATGACAAGACATAGCAAGCATTACTCGAATTCAGTCTCTTCATAACTTCCTCATGAATCAGGTTTTGTTTTGTTATAGTAAAGTAAGTAAAGGTATCCCTGTAACAGGCCATGGAGGCCCGTATGGTTGTGAGATGTTGAGGTTCCCACATTTTCTAGATGGTGGCAAGGTTGTCAGCCCTATACACCAGCCGCCCTTTACCCCCAAGAACATTCCAAGAATATTCCTGGTACTCATTTCTGTTAGAGGCTGAGTCGACCCCAGGGCCATAGTGTGGCTGGAAAGATTAGGTAAATTGGAAAAAATCCAGTGGCCTCATCGGGACTTGAACCCGTGACCTTCCAGCTTGTAGCATAGTGCCTCAACCAACTATGCTACTGTGTGCCCCCCTGATTTGTTATGGTCATTCTCAAATATCTGAACTGTGCCACATTTTCAAAATATATTTAGGTTTTATTTCATTGTCGTGGAACATTGGTGACCTATCGATCGCCATGGTAGGAGCCGCCACACGTAATCAGTGAGTTTTGCAAGCAGTTCCCTGGCTAACTACATGAATTTGATTCAGGCATGTCATTTCCAACTCCTGGATTGTGTTTAGTGTTAATTTGTTGCATTTCCTGTTTTTTTTATATGTATCTGCATTGATTTGCTGGAATGCGAGGCCCACCCATGACAAGAGTCACCTGTATTTAGAAAAGAAATGCAGTACACTTCCAGCAATGTAGTCTGTGGATCAACCTTGTTCTTTTCAGTATCAGAACTTCAAGAAGAGAGGAAGAACTAGTGAGATACAGAAAACAAAAGATTGTGAGAATAAAGAGGAGGTTGGAGACTTTTCATCAGTTGACGTATATAAAATTGGAATGATGGCAGAAGAGGAGAGACACCTTTAGTATGTTAGTAATATTGTTATCAAAGAAATGATGTTTCCATTTATATTCCTTACATACTTTTAGATCTACATATGTTTAAGTTATGCAGTGTTACCTCCAAGCCTTCCTACTAGAGCTCGTGCCACAAGCTCAGAAACAATAATCCATTTTTTCTGGTTGAGTGATGAACATGGCTGCGTTCACTTGGTTGGATGATGTGCAGAGAAATGAAGCAGATAAGTCTCCTGCTTGGTTTTATGCAGAAAGAATATGGCAATGCTGAAAGATACACTTACTACAATACTGTTTCTCCTTACTCTATCATCTCTTGCATGACTATATGTTATTGCCCGCAATGTGAGGTCTATAGCCCCCAGCAGAATTTTCTGTTGTATGAACTTTGCTGTAAGTGAGAACCCTTCCTAATTCTTAGCTTGGTCCCACTGACTTCATGTGTTCTGTAACAAGCTCTTTTATCATGTGGAACACTTTATTTCTGGTCTATTCAATGACATGGACATCAGTCCAGACTGCAGCTTTGAATTATAGGGACAGTGGATTAGAAAAAATGTTCAAAATTACTGAGTTTTTGGACTTTGTCCATCGTCCTGTATCTAGAAACTGGAAAACAATGTTTCAGAAACTGGGTCTGTTTCCATCCTCAGGTGAAAGGGAGTGGGTGTCCCTTAGAAAGAGGTGACCTCCAGTGATTGATGTTAGCTCTTCTAAGGGACCCAACAGAGTAGGTATCTTACCCGCCTCAGTTGGGGATTGAAACAGATCCAGTTTCTGAAATGTTGTGTTTTCTAGTTTCTAGAATTCTGGACAATGAACAAAGTCCAAGTAATTCTGAGTATTATACACCATCGTCAGAATCCTTTAGAAGCTACTTAGAGAATATGTGTAAAGAAGCAGTCATGGCATAATTTAAGATACTGTGCAAGAAGTTATCCATTAAGGAATGATGAAAACCAAGGAAATCCTCAGGATAACCAGTGTCCTGATGGAATTTCAAATTTGACATATCCCAAAGACAAGCCTGAAGCATCACTCTGTGAGCTGACTTGCTTGTTTGGGGGACAGTGACAGGGCTGCTGGATACATTTTGGTTCAGCAGCATTGTGTGCAAGTGGCATTTTGTTGAAAATTTTTAATTTTATTGTGATTTAGTGCTGTTAACTTATTACAGCCCTACCTCAAAATGGCAGAGAACAGTAGTGAAGAGGTGTACACTATCTGAAACTTCTTTGAGGTTCAGTCATATTTTACAGGCAGCCTTAAAGAAAAAGAAAAAGGGTCCTGTGTATTGAAGGTGATCTCCTTCTCAGCACTCTTTTTTTTTTTTTTGCTCCCTTGTGTATTGAGAATGGATTCAAACAACTTTCTGATGACTGTCTCATGATGATACACCCTCAGCGATGTTGTTGTCACAGTTTTCTAACTTATGCAGAAGTGTGTGGATGACTTAGTAAGCATGCTTCTCCTGTTAGATGTCATATACTTGAAGCCATCTGAAGATGATAATTTAATGACAGAAAAATGTGCAGTGACTGCATCTCTAGAAATAAAGCCTGTGAGACTGTATACATTATAGAAAATGTATATTTTACTGATATACATTTTGGACGACCAAGAAAGCAACCACATACCTACTTCACAGAAGTCTCCTCCCCATCCAAGAGGACAGTGGCATCGAGCAGCGAAGGTAGTATCGTTCACACAGCGCCCATTATTCCGACAGACATGGTCCATGCAGGACACTTGTGTTTCACATCTCTGACCTGTGTACTCCTATAGTAAGAATATCATAATTATATTATCTGTTTGTCAGATCATTACAGCTCCTTTTGGAGCTTCTAAAAAATATTCCATTATACCTGCAGACATGTGCAGTGTGGCACATGATGCTTGTCTAGCCAGCAGCTACCCCCATGTTCACACGTGTCTCCTCCACATCTTGTCCCATCACAGTCAGCAATATTACGAGCTGCCAAAATATGGTCATGATCTAGTGCTGTGCGCTGCCAGTTCAGTGATAATTGTCGGATGCACCCTCTGAATGGAACTGGTAATCCAGAAACCGAGCCAAGAGGAAGTTCGGATAGATCTGGCACTCCTCCTGCAACGTGTAACACAAGTGTGATGTAACAGTGTTTGAGGTTTACACAGTGATGTACAGTGTGTGCGGTGCTTGTCCAGAATCACTAACCGAGATAAAGAGGGTTGCCGCTGGATGGTAGCATCTCTCCAGGAAGCATCCCTGCACTATGCAGTATGCCATCAACGCGGAGAAAAATGCGTCTTCCGTAATGTCCAGCAAGTACACGGTGCCACTCTCCAATGGCAAGCATACGTCCACCACGAACCACAATAGGCTCTCCACGTTTGCGAAGTTTCCCTACAAAATATAAGACTATTACCATCTGGTGTGTATGGTACTGTGGGAGATAAATCTAATTTTATGTATCTTCAGTGAGTCTAAAATGTGAACGGAAGCAGCACACATGACATGGTTTTGCTGAATTTCTGTGCACGTAGGTTTCAGTCCTGGTGAATTTTATCATAACTTCTGATAAATGCGTCTTTTAGAATGCTGTTTAATTCATCCAGTACATCTTCCTTAGGTACTTTCTTTTGAAAAGGGTTTAGTTTCCACATTAGTGCACTCACTGTATTGCTTATGAACATTTGAATGAAGATTCCGAAATGGTGTTGGAATTGTTGAAATGTCACTGAAGTATGTGACTAACTTTGGATCTGTGGAATGTAATGTATGTACGTGTATATATGTATGTATTTGAGGTTCCTGTGAAAGTGAGTGTGAAGTTACTGTCTACTGGGATCTTCAGGGCTGAAGATGAAGCTAGCATTTCCCTCTGTAATGCTAGTAGTGTTCTGCAATTCTACACTTCTATAAGTCAACAGTCTTCAAATATCATGTAATATACAACAAATGGAATATTTTTAAATGGTTCAAGAAATCAGATGTAGTACTTATATTACAGTTGGCTGGTTTATAATGCTGTACATTGACAGTTAAGTCATTTGTGCTTTTAGTCTTGACTGGTAAGCGTATTTATAATTTTCTGTTTAGACACCACTTGTGGGGGTAAGTTGTGTTACCCAGTTACCCAGCATACTTCAATTTGGTTGGGTGATTTCAAGCTCTCCCAGTCTTGTCTATCAGAGGTCTCTGCTCTTATATGACCACAATGGCATCTAGGAGCAGAGTAGGGAACTTGGTGGGTGTCTGATTTTGCCTCTTATCATGAGTGAAGTGTTCTTTTGCACACCGTAAATGTACGACATGGGACCGCTGACTTTACTTCCCTTCCAAAGGAAACTGTGCTACAGATTTTCACCCTTAAAAATTCATCAACCTTGGCTGGAATGGGGAGCACCTCAGCACTAGATAATTGAGGCAGACTTTAAATTGTTGAAAGTTTAAAAGTTTTGTTTTTATAGTTGCATGTGTGCAGATTCCAATGAACTGTGAGTGCTTGAAATTTGATTATAAATGCATGAAAGACAGGACACAGGCTCAGAGAGCATGCTGTTTACTTCTGCACCACTTGTCACATCAGCTGCTGACAGTCAATGCAAGGGGCAGTCTCTGGATGCTGGATACCCACTCCATCTTCATATGAAGATTGCCTGAGAAGGCTTCATTGTTTCTTGTTGTACTTTGCTGTTGGGACAGTTAAAGAGCACTCCCAGTATACATGTAATTTCACTGCTACTCTGTGCAGAATTATAGAATGCCCTACCTGACGCCAGTCGTAGCTCTAACACTCCTCCTTGCAAGGAAAGTGACAAGAAGCTATTTCCATCTCTGTTCCCCACGAACAGCAGTAATCCTCGGTCGTACAGTGGTCTGACCTCAATATCAATTGATGTGTGTTGATGATGAAACTCCACTGGAGGGAGGGACAGATAAGAGCGTATACCAGAGAGGGCTACATCAGAAAGAGCTTCATCTGAAATGTAACAAAAATATTTATGGAACTCTGAAACAGATATTGAAATTTAAGGTTTTCAGGTAAAAAAAAAAAAAGCAAAGCTATCCCTGTACCAGGCCGTGAAGGCCCATAGGGTTGTGAGACGTTGAGGGTCCCAGATTATCTAGACAGTCGGCTCAAAGATGGTGGTAAGGTTGTCAGCCTTGCGTGCTGGCCATGCTTTACTCCCCAGGAAAATTATTTAATTAATTCCTGATACTCATTTCTGTTAGAGGCTGAGTCAACCCCAGGGCCTGGTGCAGCTGGAAGGATTAAGTCAACTGAAAAAAATCCAATGACCTCATCGGGACTTGATATTAATAAGATTACAGCCTTATGGAATGCAATGCCATGTAGTCTAATAGGTTAAGTACCATACCATTGCTTTAGAGGAACCTGCTGCATCAGCAATTTCTTTTGTAATCCTGGAGTGGGTCAGTTTTGTGGCCACGAGAGGAGTCATCGTACCTGCCTCAGAATGTGAATTACAGAAACATTGAGGAGTGCAGATTAGCAGGCCAAAGTATTTGGAGGCAAATGTCCACCCTAAGTCCCACATAGAGGGCTCTTGGATTGAACCTGGTCCTGCATGATGAGAAACTGACAAGTAACCACCTGTGCGTGGCACATCTAATGTAACAGCATCTTCTGAAACATTGGCACCTATCTGTCAGACTGTGTGGTGTGACATCGCAGAAGACAGTAGTGTGGTAGTAGATGTTGATGAAAGTTCATGCTGCATCCAGTGGGATGACATCGTACCTCTTTCACAGTATTTTCCTGCTTTTCCAAGAGGACAGTCACATTCATATCCAGCTGATAAAGGAACACATGTTGCCCCAGAGCTGCAGTTGTGTCTCATTGAATCACAGGGGTTGAAATTAATGGCACACGTTGGCCCATACCAACCCTCGGGACATAAACACCTGCAAAGGAAGTTTGACAAGTAAACAAGTGCATTTTGGAGCACAGACTGAGTGAAGATGTGTTGGTGCTATCAAGAACTTCAGGAATAGACACCATATGCCTTATACGTAAAGGTGGATGAACCTTGAAATGATATTTATGCAGACTGAAGTTAGTGTATCAGGCTTCTTGAGTCTGACTCTAATTTCCACCCAGAATTAAGAATGTATGGAGCTTTACCTGCTGTGAGCCTGTTGCCCCTGCATCTAAGCACCACACCATGATTGAGCACAGGGTATTATCTGGCTAAAACATCTTTGAGCATATGTAATGTATGGAACTTTACCTGTTGTGAGCCTGTTGCCCCTGCACACCACACCATGATTGAGCACAGGGTATTATCTGGCTAAAACATCTTTGAGCATATGTAATGTATGGAACTTTACCTGTTGTGAGCCTGTTGCCCCTGCACACCACACCATGATTGAGCACAGGGTATTATCTGGCTAAAACATCTTTGAGCATATGTAATGTATGGAACTTTACCTGTTGTGAGCCTGTTGCCCCTGCACACCACACCATGATTGAGCACAGGGTATTATCTGGCTAAAACATCTTTGAGCATATGTAATACCTTGAGCAGCGAACCTTACAGAAGAAAAGTGGCATTTGTTTAACAGGATTTCTGGTATAGTTGTTTTGATTCCCATTTTGCTTTGAAAATAGAATCTGGTAACTTTCTAATGATAACATAATGAGATAATCATTGTCTAGATACATCACTGTCTGATGATGATGATGAATAAGTCTCAAGGATATTTGAGACATAATGCAGTAGAGGTAGAACTCTGGGCATGCTGTTGAGGGACTGCATTCATCTGGCTCAGAATACAGACAAATGGAGGACTCTTGTGAGTATAGTAATGAATCTTGAGGTTCCATAAAACATTGGAAATTTCTTGAGTACCTGAGTTACTGGCATCCTCTCAAGGACTCAAATCCATGGAGTCAGTTAATTTTAGTTCATGTGGTGGAGATGAACAGTCATGAAAATGGATCTTAGAGAAATAGGGTGCAGTAGTATGAACTGGATTAATCTGGCTCAGGATAGGGACCAGCAGAAGGATCTTGTGAACACGGTAATGAACCTTCAGGTTCCATAAAATGTTGAGAAAATCTTGAGTAGCTGATCAACTGTCAGCATCTGAAGGAGTGACTTTCCTCCTCTGAGCGAGGTTTTTTTTTAGGTATACAGTCAGGTTCACATATCAGCTGCTTTACTCACAGGACAGGAGCGTCCAGTATCTCTGTGGTAGAAAATATGGAGTAAATATTTCATTTTGTAAAGTCCTTTCTTATTTTGTCATTCATTGGACAAAGCACATAAGTGGAATGTATAATGTGAAGGCCATTTCTGTATGTCTTTGCTTGACTCAGTATCAGTAGCACTGTCATGTGTGAGATGCAAGTGAAGTTTGGTTGGAGAGTCATGTCATTGGTCATTCTGAAGCCATATTTCTTAAGTTTGTTGTATTGACCCTTTCAGGACCAACCCCTAGTATGCTTAGAATTACTTGGCTCCTGGACTTCATCCATCATCCAGTATTCCAGAAACTAGGGAACACAACATTTCAAAAAGTGGATTTGTTTCCGTCCTCAGATGAGGGAGGAAACACCCGCTCTGTTGGGTGTCTTAGAAAGAGCAAACCTCAGTCACTGGATGATACCAGATGATGGACAAAGTCCAAAATCCCAGCAATTCTGAGTGCTACCCACCATCATCAGAACCCTTTAGAATCTGCCGAATATGCTTTATTCCATTTTATTCTATTCTTTCTCTATATCAACAAACACTGAATGAACTCATGGTATGTGTTCTTTCAGTGGGGAGTTCTATCTTCTGGGATATCATGTTGCGTAGTCTGTTGCAAGGCAGGTGACATGTTGAGGAAACACATCACCTTTGAAATAGGTGACTTTCAATGAACTACATGGTGTCATATCCCAGAAGACAGAACTCTTCTTAACCACTGTTCTGAGAACCTGAAATCCTACGTAGTGTTCTTTGAATATTTGACTTTTTGTGCCTGTTCAAGGACTATCAATTCAAGAAAGTAGCAGTAGTTTTTAGAACAGAATTCAAAGAGTAACAGCAGGAAAACTAAATGTTGTATATATGTAAAGACTGATGAGGAGTCAGGATAGCTCAGTCAGTGTAGTGACTAGGTGATGGGCTGAATAACCAAGGAATAATGATTCAATTTCAGCTGGTGAGAAATTTTTCTCTTCTCCACAGGGATCTAGACTGGTTCTTGGGCCCACCCAATGGCCAGGCCATGAAACTGACCATTCCTCTCCTTCTAGGTGTGAGGTTAAGAATGTGTGGAGTCATACCTCATTCCCCCATCTCTCTTCATGGTGTGGTACTTAATTAACTGCAGAACCACCTTGTATAAGTACTGATATCAGAAGGAATTTAGTCTGGAGTGTCTTCTAGTAATGCCAGTATGTGTGTTACACTGTCATTTATTCATGTAAAAGGTACAGCTTTCCCTGCAACAGGCCATGGAGGCCCATAGGGTTGTGAATCATCGAGGCTTCACATTTTCTAGACAGTTATCTCACAGATGGTGGTGAGGTTGACAGCCTCACCCACTGGCTGCCTTTTACCCCCAGGAACATAACTGCTGCTCATTTCTGTTAGAGGCTGAGTTGACCCCAGGGCTATAGTGAGGCTGAAAGTATTAGGTCAGCTTATGGCAAATTGAACATGCAACTCTCTGTCTTGTAACATAATGCCTCAACCATCTATGCTCAAAAGGTAAAGCTATCCCTGTAACAGGCTGTGAAGGCCCATAGGGTTGTGAGCTGTTGAAGCTCCCACATTTTCTAGACAGTCGGCTCACAAATGACATCAAAGTTGTCTCAAAGGCTGTGTCACTCCAGTGTGTTCACCCTGCATTTGCAGGGAAGAGCATATGTAATGCATACGTGTATGTTGCACCATGGTGAAGGCACGCTCCACCATGCTGACAGGCATGCTCGTGACATTCGCTTGTTCCACACTGTCCAACGCTCCGGCCAGTTGCAGGTTGTGTCCTCTGAAGTGCTACAGCTATGCGCCCTGCTCTCAGTTCCACATCGAACAGGCAACCAGAGAATCCAGAGTGCAGAGGCAGATCGTGGGGCAGTATGGAGAAGTTCCTGGATTCGTGTCCTCCTGAAATGACATGACCACATAATATACCTTCGACTTCAGTAACATTTGAGAGACTTATAAGTTAGTTTTATCTTTAAATATTACAGATATACAGTCAGTGTCTTTTACTTGCCAAGATAAAGCATAGATCTTGTATTGAGTTGCGAGAGACGTCCTGGAGACCTGGAACTGACATTCTGAAGATTGTCTACCATGAGCCAAGCAACTTGTCCTATTCGACCCAGTCTCACTGTATGTGAGCGATTTCCTCTCTGAGTTATGGGGCGAGGTGTGAATATCCTTCGAGGACCTGAAGGAATAATTCAAGATAGAGGTAAAAGTTGTCCCTATGCTTCATTAATTAAGCGCCACACCATGGAGATGCACTGTGGAGTGGAAGTATAACTCCACCATTCTTAACCTAGGCACTGGATTGTGAGTATTCAGCCTAATACCCCAGCTGCTTTACCCCCGAGGAAAGAGTGCCCGGTACCCATTGTATGGGAGGCTGAGTGTGCCCCAGATCAGATCTCAACACTGTAGAAGAGGAAAAAATATCTTCCCTGCTAGAATCAAATCCCAGCTGTGCGGCCTGTAGTCCATTGCTATACTGACTGATCTATTCCCACTCTGAAAGAATAGTGATTTGATCTTAAAATGTGTGTTACATTTTACAGTTGTTTTTAAAATATTTGGTTGAATGATCTGAATTTCAGATCTTGTTACAGAAATTAAAAACTAAAAATTCTTGGGATTATTGAGTTCCTGGGATTGGTCCTCCATCAGTTACATTCATTTCTTGTTTTGTGCAGGTTCTATTTTAACTATTTCTCTGTAATATCATTGAAGAATGTATATCACTTCTTCATTTACATTATTTTACTTTTCACTTCAATCCAGTTACATGTTCAGTAAAAGGAGATGCGATATATGACTGTATGGCCTGCAAGTCAGCAGAAGCTGTGCATAATGTCAGTTTAAAATCTGAAATAAAATAGTTGTTAAAATAAAATAAGACAATAAGGAAAACATACACAAACAAATGTGAGTAACCCTCTGGATGGGCTCAGTCAGTACATGCAGCCACCATTTTCTTTAGCTTATGGAACATTAGCTCTTGATTTAACTGTACTTAATCTATGAAAATTTTTCCTTAAATGGATCTATCACATAAATAAAGAAGTGACCACATTCTAAAGAAGGCGGCATTTTGGAACTGGATCTTTTTCTGTCCTCAGGTGAGAGTGTGGGGAAGCACCTACTCAGTTGGGTCCATTACAAAGAGCTGGACCAGTGACTAAGATCAGCTTTCTCTAATTTACCCATTTGGGCAGGTGCCTCCCAACCCTCTCACCTGAGGATGGAAACAGATCCAGTTTAAAAAATGTCTTCTTTTGGAATACTATGCATTGGACAAAGCCCAGAAATGTAGTAATCCCAAGCCTAGGACACCATCATTGGATCCCATTAGAATTGACTTAAAATGCTTAATTTGAGAACAAATGAATTGGCCAAGATATATTACATCATCTAAATATATTGTGTGGGAGAATAAATTATGATTTTCTGAAATTGAAAATTCTATGCATGTGATATTCACTTTATTGATAACGCTAATGAAATGTAGGTTTGTAGAGCAAGAAATGTGAAGCGAATGTGCTAATGCTATACCTGATCCAAGGTTCCATGTCAGTACCACATATCCTTTAATGAAGCTGACAGATAAGTGGTCAGCTCTGGAATCATGGAAGCCATCTTGCCCGACAAATACCATGAGTGCTATTTGTTCAACAGTTGAGGGAATAAACTTGAATTTTATCTCCATGCTATTGTGTATGGCGCCAGGTATTGGGTAGGCAGCGTAAGATGCAAGACCACCAACAGAAGAGGAAAATGAAGGCTGGCCAATCTCAAGATCTGAAATGCCAAACAAATTGTACATTATTTTGTTATATCATTTTGACAGAAACTTCTAAACTTCCTTTCTCAGTAATTAGCCAAGTGTCAGATCAGATATGAGGCCTCAGATGTAGAGACTTAAGAAGTGATTTTCAGTGAAGTTAAGGCCAATAAAAATGGTGCTCATGGGCACTGAGGCAGGCACCCTACTGGCACACCAGCTCCTGGAATCTTGTGGGTCATGGCAGCTCTGTGCAGCGCAGTTCTACAGTCTTTGTAGTGTTTTCTGGAGGAGGGCTGAATATACCATTGGGTTTTATTTCAGCAACCCTCGTAGAGCACCTAGCAAGGAAGCAGAATTGAAATGATAAATGTAATTAAATTAAGTGAACCAGGATGGTCAGTGGGAATAAGTGAAGATAAAGGTCACTTGAGGAAGATGGATTTTGAAGTGCAATAGAAATTTTACAGTATAAGTTCCTTCAAAAGGGCAACAAAGCTTGGGGACCCTTGTACATTTACAGCATGTAACAGTACCTATCCTTCAGGATATAAGACGAGTGAAGGTAAAACAAGATGTTACTATAGGATTCTGATGATGGTGTATAACACACTGATATATTGGGTTTTGGGACTTCATCGTCCTGATTTTTAAGATAACTAACAAAGACACGACATTTCGGAAACAGATCCAGTTTCCGAAACGTCGTGTTTTTATTAGTTATCTTAAAAACCAGGATGATGGATGAAGTCCAAAAACCCAATATATCAGTGTAAAACAAGATGCTCACGAAGTTCCCTACTCTGCTCCTAGATGACTCTGCCATCACACAGCTGCCATGATATCTGATGACAAGAGCGGGAAGAACTTGAAAGCACCCCATCCAAGTGAAGTATGCTGGACAGCCAGATAACATAACTCACTCAAGTGGTGTCAAATATAAAATGAGTTACAAAACGCAATTCACTTGATGTTAAAAGGACAGCTGACTTAAATATCAAAGTGTGGCATTAGAAACCACCCAACAAAAAAAGTGAAGTTGTCCTTGTGATTAACTAATTAAGCACCACGTCATGAAAGCGTATGGGGGAGTGGATATATAGACCCATGTTTTCCTGACCTCAGCACTGGTTGGAGGTGAGTGGTCAGCTTCATGCCCCGGCCACTTTACCCCCGGGGAAAGAGCCCCCCGTACCCATTCGATAGGAGACTGGATTGGCCCAAGGGCCGGTCTGGATGACGTGGAGAAGTGAAAATTCTTGCCTCTACCAGCACTTGAAGTCCAACCCCTTGGTTTTCCAGCCCATAGCCAGTCACTATACTGACTGCGCTGAGGAAAATAACAATATGCACACTAGGGGCCCAAATTGTAGGATGACATGTACATGTCCTGTACTGTATAGTCTGCAGTCGACGGTGGTTTACTGAATAACTATAGGTTTTATTTCCAGCATAAATGTCTTCACACTCTTTCTTTATATTTTACCCCAGAAAGACCTCAGATGTTAGTTAAGAAGTCAATGAAGTGCAAATGCTCAGGGGACTTTGAGCAGCTGTTCAGTTGGCAGTTCTGAAGGACTCTGTCATTCAACTGGACTGCCACTACCAATTTTTCTCTGCTTACGGGTTCGCTAAATTTTCCTTTCAGAAAGATTTCTATAGGACCATGATTTTTTTTTTTTTTTTGCTAAGGAGTTCAATAAATAATTTTCAACAATAAAAAATAAGAAGAATGTCATCTGGGATATGGCACCATTGTGTTAACCGACATTTTGGAGGAACATATCACCTCCATCTTCAGTGTATAAAAATCCACAAGCAAGGAGCCAGTGTGAGCAGGTGGGTGCAGGCGCCGCACCAAAAAGATGGCATTCTTCATAGTCACTGCCATGAAAATGTCAAATCTTACAGTATAAGGAATAGATCCTTTTCTAATGAATTTAACGAAAACGTTAGAATTTTTTGTGCATGACATTGTAACATTAAAATGTTTATGATAGTGTAGATTCCTTCCACCATTTCTTTTATTCTATCTTCATGGATGTAGCACCTGAAGTTCAGGGGAACAAGATACAGTTTTTGAAAATCCAATTTAAGAAAATTACAAATAACTTCAGAAATGTTGGTGGGTTTGGATTGAAATTCCGTGTAGTTATTCCTAATTGAATGTTAGACCTCTGTGACAGAAATCATGGCTCTAGCATATACTGTTCAGGAAATACAGTTTTCACCTCAGGCGCTGCTTGACATGTATATTGCATTAGACAACTGAAATGTAATTTTTGGCAGGGAGTAACACTTTACCATGTTCACAGTAGATGCCATGTTTTCCTAGTGGACACAGGCAGAGGAAGCCAGTTCCGGGATATGGCACGCAAGTCGAACCAAACTGACATGGGTTATCTTCACAGACTGACCGTTCACATGTCACTCCCACAAATCTAAAATAAATTAGGCAAAACTTATGTTAGATATTGTTATTCACATTGTTAGTATTTGTTGATTTAAACATGTTATGTATGAGGTCCGGAGATAGGGTTAGCTCTGTGTATTGAGCCCAACTGAGTAGGTTTTACCCGAAGACGGGGACAGAATCCAGTCTTCAAAATGTTGTGTTTTAAAAAACAAACAGGACGGTTTTTTTAAAAAATAGAAAAGACGATGGATAATGTCCAAAAACAGATTACTTTTAAGTTATGTATGATTAGATGCTTCCACTATGAATGTATGTAGAGAAGTGTTGTCAGGTTATTAGGCATGTGAAAGATTTGGAGCTTCTGTGAAAATAGCTAAAATTTTCTGGGCTGATTAGTTCTGTCAGTGTTGAGTTAAACAATGTTCTAGATACCTTCTCTGTCTCAACAATCAGTGTCACTACTGGGGAGCAAGTTTTTCATGCAAGACAGAGTTAGTATGAAACATTTTTTTTAAATTCTCCATCATCAGAGATCAGTGTGATGAGTGGATGAGTGATTGTGCAAATGTTTCACTTTCAGGACAGAATGTGTCTTTGCTGTCCCAGATTCAACTGCTAGGGGAACAGTGGGTGAGCTTGGTCGGTCAGTGACGTTCTGTTCCCCAGTGATCCATGTTGTGCCACTCATCACATAGGCCCGAAATGCTGGAGACAGAGACAGTCTCCAAGACATTGGATACCAGCTCCACTTTCATATGCAGAATGTTAATCGGTTTATAGTGGCTGCAAAATATCACAGAATGCCAACATTTATTAGTGTTCAGTAAAACTTTGTACTGATTGAGCTCCCATAGTGGTAACACTCCATGGTTTTATTTTGGAGCTGCTCAGTTTGAATGGTTAGGACCAGTAAACCCATTCATCCGATGTAGAACCAGTTATTTCTGTCACATGCCCCTCCCCACATGTGACTTAATCTGGCTTAACCAGATTTAATCTAACCAAACCTTTCCTAACTTAACCAAATTTAATGTGAGCTAACCTAATGACTTGATATGTCAAATGAAATATATGTATGTTTGAAGCAGGAAAGGGACTAAAACTGAATCAAATTAAATATAAATATAAATTACAACTCTGTAACGATGAACTGAGCTGATATCAACATAAGTATCTGCAGTATCGTTAACAGAATTCAGTGTCGACTGATATTGCTGTTATTTATATTACTAATACAGGTAGGTGAGGTGCAGAAACTGGTTGTACTAGGGTGTGGTATTAATGATCTATACAGGTACTACACTACTGACTGGTGTACCCTGATGGACATTTGCAGCTCCACTTGTCTTTATGTTCCACACATGTTGCACTTCCAAAGCAAGGATTTGATAAACAAGCAAGAGATGAACATTCTGTAACATCATATCCGTCAGACGCATCTCGGAAGACATTTCTGGTCTTATTGTCAATCTGGAATACGAAAATGTAATGAATCATTAACATGTGCAAACTGTACATAAAGTATTCTTGTGGTTACATCATCATCAGATAGTTGCATAGATTGTTGTGTCATCATTAGAAAGTCACTTGATTCTGTTTGCAATATACAGCAGAAACGAAAATGCTAGAAATCTTGTTGAACCAACAGGGCTTCTCTTCTGTTATGTTGCCAACTCAAAGTGTTACAGGCCTGTAAGAGATGTTTTAGACAGACAGCTTTCATTTTCACATAATGAAACTCTCTTATATAATTAGTGTTTGATTTTGTCACATTTCTATGGTTGTGACTGTAGATGGGGTATGGATTGTATGCATTGGATGAATTGGATTTATCAATCACTTGTATACACCAATCGGAACTACACTTTACAGATCACTGAAACACACAGACTAGTGTCCTCAGTCTATTACAGTCTCCAATAGCCATTTCCTGGCAAGGGCTTTTACTGAGGAAGATTTTTCAGCTTCCCACACTCAGGTCTTCCTGTCACAGCCACCTGGGCAAAACTCTTGTTAACAGCCAATTCAACTAACCAGGTCCCAGGCCAGTGGCCATGTAACTAATGTAAAAGAAATGTAAAGAAACTAATGTCAAAATATTTTTAACTGTTTTTCCCTTCCGAGATTGAAACGCTCATATATCATGTAGGTCATAACTTTTGAATCTTTTCTGATGACCAGAGAGTGTCAGCTATAATGCTGAGTCATTTTCATGAGTTGATGACCTACTTCATGCAGTGTTAGCTGTGTTAGTACAGCACAACACAAATATGAAAACAACATTATCGGGGGGGGGGACAAATCAGCAAAACTCTCATTTCTGGTTTCTTTGGGGACCAGTGTATTTGAACTGTTAACTTAGGAAATGTTAAGCAGAGGTGCATCTCAGCACAGAGACTGCTGACTTGGGGTAACTGCAATTGAACTTTAACTCACTCGCTCAGGGAGCTGAGCCCTACTTGAGAAGCTGCCAACTGTGCAGCAACTCAAGAACTGCCCAGAATTTTATGGAACCCAAAGGTTCATTACTGTGTTCACAAGAACCCTCCACCAGTCTCTGTCTTGAGCCAGATATATTAAATCCATATCATCACATCCTATCTCTCTAAGATCCATTTTAATATTGTCCACCCGCCTATGCATTTGTCTTCCCAATGGTCTCTTTTAATCTACCTTTCCCACCAATAGCCTATATTCATTCCTCTTCTCCCCATTTGTGCTACATGCCCTGCTGATCTCATCCTCAACTTAATCATTGTAAATATACCTGAAGAAGAGTACAAGTTATGAAGGTCCTCATCATGCAGTTTTCTCCAGCCTCCTGTCACTTCATCTGTCTTCAATCAAAATATCCTCGACACCCTCTTCTCAGACGCCCTCAGTCTATGTTCCTTCCTTAACATCAGAGACCAAGTTTCATGCCCATATACAAGCACAGGCAAAATTATAGTTTTGTATATTCTAAGTTTTACGTTTTTAGACAGCAGACAGGAAGAGAAAAGGTTCTGGACTGAATGATAGCAAGCATTGCCCGAGTTCAGTTTCCTCTTAATTTCTTCCTGAATCAGATTTTGATTTATCATCATCATTCCCAAATATCTGAACTGTGTCACATTTTCAAAACTTCTGTTACCTATTTTTGTGTCATGATTTTTCCCTGCATTTTGATGACAAGACAGCAACATATACTTAGTTTTCTCTGTGTTTACTTCTAGGCCAACCTTACTAGCATCAATTAAAGTTTTTGTTTGTGTTCTTTATGGTATCTACAGTTATCACCCAGTAGTTTCTCATCAATGGCATAGACTAACAGCTGATGTGTCCCATTTAATTTCAGTCTCACCTGGTTTTCTTGGACCTTCCTAATGGCATAGTCTAAAACAGAATTGAAAAGGAATGGTGATAAAGCATCTCCTTGTTTTAGCCCATTGTAGATAGAGAAATTATCAGAAAAATGTTTACCTATGTGGACTTTACCATACATTTTTTTTAAACACATTTTAATCAGCCTAACTAGTTTTATGGGTAACCCAAAACACTTATCACAATGTTGTACAATACTTCCCTCCTAACCTTATCATCGTCTTTCTTGAAGTCTACAAATAGGTGATGTACAGTCTCACTGTACTCCCATTTTTTCTCCAGTATCTGTTGATTGTGAAAGATCTGATCAGTAGTTGAGCTGTTACATCGAAACCCACGCTGATGATCCCCAGTGATTTCACATATGTATGGACTTAACTTTGAGGGAAGAATATTGGACATAATTTTGTATGAAGTTGATAGTAGTGATATCCCCCGATAATTACTGCAATCAGTTTTATCACCCACTTTTGAACTGGTACAATAATAGTCTCCTTCCACTGATCAGGCAATTCTTCCTTATGCCAAATAGAAGTAATTAGCTTTTGGTTTCAGATCTCAGTATTTCACCTCCTCCTTGAATTTGATCATTAGCTGGGGATTTATATTTTTCCAAATTTGCAATAGCAATTTCAACCTCAAAAGGGCTAGAGTCAGGTACTAAAGGCTCAGCTGTTAGTATTTCTGTCAGCCTAACATCACTGACCCTATGTACATTCAATAACTGAGAGAAGTAGTTCCTCCACCTATTCAAAATTTTTTGGGAATCTGCAAGCAGATCACAGTTTTCATCCTTCGCTAAGTTACTTCTAGGTTGGTTACCTCTCTTAAAGTCTTTTATTCCTCTATACAGGTCTCTAATATTCTTGTTCTTACTGTTCATCGCAAGCTCATTTTGTCCTACAGATATTTCCTCTTTTTCTTGAAATGCCAGCTGGATTGACTCCTTATAATGTTCACATTATCCCTGTTTATTTCACTTGGATCCTGTAACTACTGTAATTTGGCTTGTTTCCTTTGGTGTAATAATTTTGAGCACCCTTCATCGAACCATGGCTTATGCTTCTTCAGTTCATAGGAACCTAGACTCCCTTTGGCAGAAATTAGGATATTCTAATAGTTTCCCAAGCTTTATTAACACCCACCTCAGTGTCTTAACTTTCCCAAAGCTGCGAACCTATTTGAAATTTCAACACAATACTCCCCTTTACAGCTTTTCTTGAGATTGAACCTCTCCATATGAACTTTGTGTATTGCTTGCTTACTCACTGCCAGTCTTTCCCTAACCTTTGCCACCTCCATGTAGTGGTCAGTATCACAGTCTGCTGCCCTGTATGATCAGATATCAGGTATACCTGAATGCCGTCTCCTATCTATCAATATATGGTCAGTTTGATTGTGCATCTTCCCATCAGGAGACATCCAACTAAATTTATGAGTGTTACAGTGTGGGAACATTGTACTTTTGACAGTAAGATTTTTTCATGTGACAGAGTTTACTACTCTAACTTCATCATCACTACTTAATTTCGTGCAAACTTTGATTTACATTTGTTCGTTTGAGAATGTCTTCCCTGCCTACTTTGGCATTGAAATCTCCTAACAAATTTTTCATAAGATACTTCAGGAATTTATCAAATTCATGTTCTAGTTCTTCATAGAACCTGTCCTTTATATCATCAATTTTATCTTCTGTTGTGGCATGAACAATCAAAACGACATCACACCAATGACCTCTTAATATTATATATGACATCCTATCATTAACGAACTCCACCCTCTTAACTGCTGATATGATTCTCCTCTGTAGGAAGAAACCTGTACCTAATTCATGATTATCATTCCCCTTTCCATAGATAAATGTATATTTGCCTGCTTGTTTGGTGGCACCTCCATCCCATCTGACCTTCTGTACTCCCATTAAGTCTAACTTATGTATTAAGATTTCTTCCGCCACTGCCCTGAGCGAACTTGCCCTATACATACTTCGAACATTCCATGTACCAAATTTCATATCCATTTTCTTTAGCTTAGGTCATTTATCCAGAGGATCCGTCCAGGTACAAAGCTTCTTGAACATTTTCATAACAAGCTTATTTCTTATGGCATGGAGTTGTAAGCCCCACGCCCAACCCCCAAGCTGGAGGACCACCCCTTGTCGGCTTTCCGTGGCTGCTTATTCAATAGATTCACAGCTTCCCTCCGTACTTGGGGGGCATCTTCTCCATCTGCAACCTGACAACATGCCATGCTGTGGTGACAAGGGACCCACATAACATGGGAAATTGAATGTTAAAGGAAAAAGAAAAGGAACATTACTACCCCATGGCCTGTAGTCCGCAAGCGAACTATACTGACCGAGTGACCGCTGCTTGTTGGCGAAGTTAGTGCCAACTTTTGCGGATAGAGGGTGTCACGTGGTAAGTGCAACGTATCCCCACTGCCGTTAATCTCGGTTTTCTAGACCAGAGCCGCTATTTCCTTGAAATAACTCCTCAGTTATCCTCACGAGGCTGAGTAGACCCCGTTCAAGACCCACTACTTGTCAGAAAATCTGGTAGCGCCGGGAATCGAACCCGGGACCTCTGGATCTGTAGGGATGAACTCTGACCACTAGACTTCAGAGGCGGTCTGTCAAGGAACTTTAACCCTTTACATTCCGGTTGTTACTATATATACCACAAGTATCAACATACTAAAACTCTATTAGCATGTTCCTTACGTTTGGCACACTAAACAGTGATTATTTCCCCAAACAGCATTACCTGGGTGGTCTTTGTAGCAGAGACATAATGTGATTCCTTTGATGTGCTGGCTGGATTCTTGTATATCATTTGGAAGTATATCTGAATGTTCCTTATGGTTCTCATAATAAACAGTGACTGTTTCCCTAAACAGCATTAACCGGCTGGGTTTTGTAGCAGAGACATAATGTGTTTCCTGTGAGGTATGAACTATATTCTTATATATTATTTGGAAGTGTATTTATATGTTCCGTATGGTTCGCACAATAAACAGCGACTGTTTCCTCAAACAGCATTAACCGGATGGACTTTGTAGTAGAGACATAATGTGTTTCCTGTGAAATTCAGTCTTAAAGTGTTAAATGGTGTGTTAATGCAGTGGACATCCACTGGTAGATGTGGTTTCAGGCATTTAAATCAGAGTGCACTGGCTTATGAGGGGAATTGAATATAATGATGATGATGGCATGCCTTTCTTTAGGGACACTGGCTGTACACACGATTTCTTCTTGTCTCTAGCAGCTGTATTTTATTTCACAGGAACTGAAAGTCAGAGGATGTGAAATTTACCTGAAGAGCTTGCATACAGCCTGTAAATCCAATAGTAAGTGGAGCCTCATCTGGGACTAAGAAGTGTGGAGGAATTCCAGCCAAATGTAGCCATGAATTTGCTCTGATGTGAGTTGCAGTTGAAGCCATTTGTTCCCCACTCATTACTAATGTATTATTAATGTGTACAGAGGCAGCACAGCGTCCAGTATCTCCATCAGGGGGTAGGAGCTCTAGTCTGGAATAATAAAAGAAAAGTAGTTAAAGGCATTAGTAGAGAAGCCAGCCTAGAGTGAAATGTGCAGAAGTATGGAAGTATTGTACTGTATTCTCATTGAGTTGGGATACCCTTGAAACTAGTTAGGCTTATTAAAATGTGCTTAAATGGAACCTAAAGCCCATATATGTAAAAATTAGTCTGATACATTTCCTATTCAGAATGGTATATAACATGGAGATGCATTATTCCCACTGCTTTTCAACTTTGCTTTAGAATATGCCATTAGGAAAGTCCAGGAAAACCAGGTGGAACTGAAATTAAGTGGGACACATCAGCTGTTGGTCTACGGTAATGATGTAAATCTATTGGGAGGTGATATAGATACCATAAAGAAAAACACAGAAACTTTGATTGACACTAGTAAGGAGGTTGGTCTATAAGTAAACACATAGAAATCTATGTATATGTTGCTGTCTCATCACCAGAATGAAGGGCAAAATCATGACATAAAGATCGCTGATAGATCCTTTGAAAATGTGGCACAGTTCAGATGTCTGGGAATGACAGTAACAAATCAAAATTTGACTGAGGAGGAAATTAGGAGAAGATTGAATTTGAGTAATGCCTGTTACCATTTGGTTCAGAACTCTTTGCCTTCACATCTGCTGTCTATAAACATAAAAATTAGAATATACAAAACTATAATTTTGCCTGTGGTTCTGTATGGGTGTGAAACTTTGTCTCTGACATTAAGGGAGGAACATAGACAGGGTGTTTGAGAACAGGGTGTTGAGGAGAATATTTGGACCGAAGAGAGATGAAGTGACAGGAGGTTGGAGAAAACTGCATAAAGAGGAGCTTCATAACTTGTACTCTTCTCCAAGTATAATTAGAATGATCAAGCCAAGGAATGTGAGGTGGGCAGGGCATGTAGCACAAATGGGGGGTTACGGTTGTAAAGCCAGAAGGAAAGAGACCACCAGGAAGGTCTAGACGTAGGTGGGAGAATAGTATTAAAATGGATCTTAGAGAAGTAGGATGTGTGGCATGGACTGGATTAATCAGGCTGAGGATAAGCTCCAGTGGTGGCCCCTTGTGAACACTAATTAACCTTCGGGTTCCGTAAAATTTGGTAAGTTCTTGAGTAGCTGAGCAGCTGGTGGCATATCAAGACGAACTGAACTCTATGGGGTTAGTTAGTTACCAGATGTTATTAGAATTATTAAATCAAGGGCGATGCAGATGGACAGAGCATGTAGTGTGTATGGGAGGTAGCAGAAGTGAGAAATCCTGGAGGAGAGAGACAGCTTAGAATACCCAAGTGTAGATTGGAGATAATATTAAAGTTGATATTAAAGAAATAGTTTTGGGAGGGGGAAGCTATGGATTCTTTTGGTTCAGCATAAGGACCAGTGATGGGCCATTGTGAACACAATAATAAACCTTTAGATGCCATGAGAGGGATGAATATCTTTATTCACCTACTGAGAGACTAGTGACTTCTGAAAAAGTGCTATAGTTGTTTAGTTAAACTGTTCAAACTTATATTATATTCTTTTCATGTTTCTTTTGTTGTGTATTTAACTCTATTCTTGGCCATCCACTAAAAGTAAAGTAAAGTTATCCCTGTAACAGGCCATGGAGGTCCATAGGGTTGTAAGAGGTTGAGGCTCTCACATTTTCTAGACAGTCAGCTCACAGGTGGTGGTGAGGTTGTCAGCCTTACACGCCGGCTGCACCTTTACCCCCGGGGAGTTTCCTGGTACTCATTTCTGTTAGAGGCTGAGCTGATCCCAGGGCTACAGTGCAGCTCGAAGGATTAGGTCAATTGAATAATCCAATGACCTCATCGGGACTTGTAACTGCGACCTTCCGGCTTGTAGCATAGTGCCTAAACCAACTACGCTACCACGTGCCCCCCTCATAAATATTTGTTTCATTTAACTCTATTGATGCAATGTTCATCTGAAAATGAACAAGTGTCCATCACTGTACAGTGCAATATTCAACTTCAGACCACATCAAGGAATAATCTTCTCCTTTTGCTGCATGATTTGGCTTCATTAACTGAGCTATGAAAATGTGTTTTTGTTGCATTTTTCTTCAATTTTTTACCTTAAAATTTTATTACTTTAGGAAAACAATTAAAAAATAATACGCAACAGTTAGGTTGAAATGGATTCAGTTTGGTATTGAACTGTGGGTTAATAGATTAATGGTTCTGAAAGAACTCACTCACTCATGGAGCTGAGCTCTTCTTGAGAAGCCACCGATTGTGCAGCTACTGAAGAGCTTCCCAGCATTTTATGGAACCCACAGGTTCATTACCATGTGCTCACAATTGGCAGCTTTTCAAGAAGGGCTCAGCTCCATGAGTGAGCAGCCTCCCGTCTGACATCTCAAAACAGTACCCATAAACTAATGTATATGTATGACAGCTTTTATTGGCATATCTCCTGAAATCAAATATTATAGCATTGGACTTGAGGTTCTCACAGCTGTGGTTATAAAGAGTTCTGTCTTCTGGGATGTAACAGTATGTAGTCTGCTGGGTTCTTACTTGGCTTACTCTTCAGCCCTGGAGATAGAGGTGACATGTTCCTCCTTAGCTTCAGTTAACTTTCAGTGGTCTACACAGTGTTGTATCCAAGAAGACAGAACTCTAAATTGACTCCTTATAATTCGTTACAAAGAAAGTGCTGCCTCTGTGTTGCTGGTAACTGCCTACCGGACTACAGGGTAGTCTCAATGCAGAAGGCCTAATTCTTAATGCTCAGCCATCATGAAAATTCTGTCTGTCTGTCTACCTATCTGTTTATGGATCTACAGCCCTTGTGAACCTTGGCCGCTTTTTTCAGTTTCTTGATCTATATACAGTTGGTAGGACTCACAAGGCCACTACTTACACAGAGAACAACACAAACACAGAATAAACATACACGGACATCCATGCTTTGAGTAGGATTCGAACCCATGATCCTAGTGTTCAAGTGGGCAAAGACAGTTCATGCGTTAGACCACGCAGATTCTGTGGTTGGCGAAAATGCTGTATTACTTTCCCTTAAATTATTTGATGGAACACAGTTTAAAGATCACCGTTTTGGAGTACAGATGTAATTCACTTAAGCTTTACAAAGGCTAGAATGAACTTGTACACTTACAAGGCTTGTATGGCGATATCAAATCCATTGTTGACATGAAATTGCACTTCACTGAACAACATTGTCTGAATTCCGCAAGAGAACTGGAATTTCAGGAGCCCATCTTTCAGGTACAGGTACATATACATGTCAGGAGTGAGATGGGCATATAACAAGATGCCTGTTGGAGCCATGGTTCGAGCTGTCACTTGAATATGAGTTCCGGTACTGTTGGTTAGTCTGTGACTGAGGTATGACTGTCCTGTAAATGCAGCCACTTTGATTCCCACACGCTCCTGACATAACGCTCCCTCCCATCCAAACCTGCAGACGCACTGCAACAGAACAAGGTTTTAGCTATTTATGTTTCTATTTATATAAACCAACCCTTCACTGTGTATGTACTTGGGTCATAACCAAGTCAAATACTTTTCCTTAGCAGTTGCTTGGCTGTTTACTGATCAGCTGCTTGTTGTGTCAGCATGCTCTAATATGATGCTATGCAATCTGGAAGGCGGGTACAATTTTACAGCTCTGAAGGTCATCTTGATAGCATGAGGTTTCACCAGAATTCTGGTACCTGTCTACCAATCCACAGGCGTATTCCAGAACACAATATTCTTCATAGTCACCACTACGAGCAGCTCACATCTCATTTAAAAATATTTTTGGACAGTTCTGCATATGCAGTTGCTTTTTGTTTTTCTTGTTACCTTGAGGTGAATGTTTGAAATACTTAGATACATAATTCAAATCTGCCTCGACCAATATTTATCAACAGATGGGACTTGATGGCGGGCTATGTTGGATATGAGCTCTTGAAAATAATAATTCTCTCATACAGAAACTTTTCTGCACTGCAAATTTCTTACTAAAACTACACCATAGTCATATTTATGCAAACATCTATTTTGTTTTTGTTATACATGGGTGAGTCAGAAACTTTCCGCAGCAATTTATTTTAAAGCTTGTTGTGATGGCTGCACTGCTTATTTAGTGTGCAGGTAGAAGCATGAACTCCCTACATGACTGTGAAATATGTTTTGACCTTCACTGGCTGGTTGTAGTAGCATACCAGAGTTAATTAGGCTACTCCGCCTCCCACACCAAAGAAGAGCGGCTTGCAGTATACGATTTTATGAGCTGTAGACATACCAGGGGCACACTTTCAGCACAGTATGAAAACAGTGCTTTACCATAGTGAAGTTTGCACAAATTGATATCCATGTCCAAAAGCATCACATGATCACACACCTGTCCATGAGCACTACAGAGGAAAGTGCCATAATTCTGCATAAACGATCAGTGACTATCACTGAAATTGCGCACCGCACCACCTGCACACCAGTAATGGTTCTGCTGTTGGAATCATCCAAGGCCAGCTTGGTTTTTAAAATACAATTATTCAGTTTCTGGACATTATCCATCATCTTGTTTTTTATTTAAAACACAACATATCAGAGACTGGATTCTGTCTCCATCTGCAGGTAAAAGCCTACTCAATTGGGCCCAATCGATAGAGCTAGTCCCTATCTCTGGAGATAGAATACAGTCTCAAAAACGTGTTTTAAGTAAAAAATCAGACATCAAAAAACTCAGTAATTGTATTAATATACCATCATTGAAAATTTTTATGTCTTACTTGGGTTTCATAAATTTTCTGCAACTCACAAGAGAGCACAAGTGCAACCATTTGACGGTCTGCCAAGGCCTGTTGAGTCACCCATCTCTTTTGGGGAGACACAATGTCATTATGGATGAGAAATGGATCCATCATTATGCTCCAGAGAGCAAACATAAGAGTATGGAATGGAAACATAAAAAATCACCAGTCAGGAGGAAGAAAAACACTCAACCATCAGTGGGAAAAGTGATGTTGACACTTTTTGGGATGCACAGGGGCCAGTTTTGTACACTGTCCAGAGAGGGGTACAAGAGGAAACCGTGTCCATTCTAGTGAAATGTTCTGTAACCAGCTGAAATGAGCTGTTCGAACTAGACGCCAAGGGCTATCATCAAAAAGATGTCAGAATGTCACATGATAATGCCCATCTGCACACTGCCACCCACACCAATAAAAGCCTTCACCAATTAAACTCTGACATATTGAAGCATCCTCCATGTAGTCCTGATCTGACTTTTCACTGTTGCCTGTTTGGTTCACTCACCGTCTCTTCAAGAGGCCACCATTTCGCCAGTGACCATGAAATGAAAGAAATGGTGCATGCACGGCTTGTCACTGAAACAAAAACTTTTTTTTTTTTTCGATAGGCCATGCAGAAGCTTGTGGACTGCTGGACTAAGTGTGCTAAAACGGATGGCGACTGTCCAAGAATTGTTACCATTGTACATGCTCATTATAATTATACGATGGGAAGTCATAATGTTTTAATTATCACCATGAGAAAATCATAATTCCAAAATATCGTTCTATATAGGAGATAGCCCATTTCCTGAGCTTGCCGAAGAGTCAAATTTTCCCGCACCAAGTGGACAGAGGGAGCCACCAGAAGGGGCAGAAGCAAAATGGCGACGTTGGTTGAGAAAGTGGAGGCTTGCGCTGTGATACGGTTCCTGCATTTACAAGGGAAGTCTGCCAGGGAGACCTACAACCAGATGATCGCTGTGTATCAGGAAGGTGTATCATCATATGACAGTGGTCAGGTGGAAGAGGCGCTTTCATTGTGAACAGATGAACCCTGAAGTGGAAGACCATCTCTTGCTGAGGAACCGGGAATTGTGGCACAGCTGGCAGCTTTGATCCTATCCAATAGGCACGTAACTCTCAAAGCTATTGCTAATGAGGTCCGCATTAGCCATGGGTCGGTTTCATCATCATCCATGATGAGCTACCTATGACAAAGGTCGCTGCGCATTGGGTGCCACAATTGTTGACACCAGTTCAAAAACAGAAATGGATGGATGTGACAAAGAAACTTTTGCAGTTGTGTCAAGACAAAAGGTACATCTTTGGGGAAAATGTGTGGCCTTGTAGGGGGCATATATAGAGAAGAACTAACTCACATACAGTTTCTTGCACCTGTATCTCTGTTTCTTCTGGGTGATAATTAAAATTTTATGACTTCCCTATGTATTATTTAATAAAAAATTAATTGCAGATACTTTTCTGACTCAGCCCTCTTAGAATGAAACATATTATCAAAAATTGTTACGACCTGTAAGCTCTTAATAACATAATTGTAAATGTAGACTTCTTGAAAAAACAACTTAAGTTCTTTTTGGGGGGTAGGATTATGGGATTTATACAAAATTACCAGACAGGAGATTCAGCAGATTGGCAGTCACTGCCTTAGACATCAGTCGACTTTTGTAGAATATTGGAAACAGTTTCTTACAATACTGGCAGTACTTACCCTAGGTCCTTCTTTGGTGTGAATACATGTGCCTCCATTGTGGCAGGGGATTACACTGCAATCTGGCATTTCTGTTGACGAAGGATATCGGTCAGTGAAGTCAGTACTTGTGCTCACAGTAGGTGTTGTGGTACCAGTTGTCATGTCTGGAGTCTTTGGAGATGTTGTAAGGAAGAACGTAATGGGATATTCACTGGATGTCTCACTGCTGACTGGCGTAACTTCCTCACCTACAGTTACATTTTCAGTGACAGGTGTGATTACTGGATAAGGGGCAAGAGTAGTTGTAGACTCAGATGTTAATGGCTGCTCTGATGGAGTAACATCTGTATATAGATGCTTGTCTGTTGATGCAGATGTAGCAGAAGTCAGTTCCTCAGATATCTCAGTTGTTTCTTCACTTCTGACAAATGGAGGAGCTTCTGAAGAAGTGCTTGATTCTTCAGGGAAGGGAGTTGAAATTGATGTTTCTGTTCTGTTGGAATACAGTGTTGAAAGAGTTATAAATGCTTCTGCTGTTGATGTTCCTTTCATTGTAACCGTTTCTGGAATCATGGGTGATGTCAGTGAAATTTCACTCTGGGTGGACATGGAGTATGTTTCAGTGGTTGCATTTACTTCACTTGGGGTTGATGTAGCCTCTGAAGGTATGGATCCAGTGAAAACAGAAGTGGAAGATAATGTAGAAGGCACCTCTGTGGATATTGTTTCAGTAAAACCAGAAGAAGTTATTTCTGGTAGAAGTGTAGTTACTGTTTCAGCAGTTGATATGGTGAATTTGGAAGATGATGTAATCTCAGAAGGTGATGTTACAGAATGTGTGTATGTGGTAGATTCAGACAGCAATGGTGATGTTTGTGAGGAAGGCACAAGATATGTTGAAACTTCAGAAGCAATTTTCGTCTCTTCTGTTGAGAGTGTTATTTCTGTTGTTGGTCCTGTAGGAATTACAATTGGCCATGTGGCATTTGCAATAACAGATGTTGAAGGCACTTCAGTAATGATTGATGGTGGGGACTCTGTACTTATTGAAGGAAGCAAAGTTGTTATGGATGGCAGGATGTAAGAACAGTTAAGTTGTCCAGTACCAGTGATGAGACATTCGCAGAATTGACCTGTCAAGTTAGGTGGACAGGAACATGTGAAGTTGTCCACACCATCCAAGCACGTTCCACCGTTCATACACCTGCACATGTGAGATGATAATTTGTATGGATTGTCCCATAATAATTGACTGAACTCTTTCAGTGGGTTGTGTGCTGTAAATATAAAGGTATTTATCAGTCTTCTACCTTGGTCCAAGTTGACACTCGTCATATTGAAACTGGCACCGATCTCCGTGGTAGTCGGGTACACAGTAACAAACAGTCACTCCATCTTCTATTAGGCAAAGGGCATTATTCTCACACGAAATGGTGTCACACTGATGAAGTTTCACCTCACAGTTTTTCCCTGTGTAGCCTGTAGTAACACACACATAATTTAATTAGCAGTTAAGTCTTCTCCAGGGACAGCTGTGTCAATATGGAGCTGGCCAGTCCAGTTTCATCACCCCTTCACATGCCTCTCCACATTTTATTCCCCCCTGATTAGCGAGGGGTAGTCCAGCAGATCAGTAATGGGAAGTGATGGACTGACTTGACTGGCCAAAAGAAATGTCCGTACTATATTGTGTCATATGTCAGAGATTGTCTGCCTCCATCATCAGGGTGTTGATATTGTAAGTATTGTGTTATAGCATGCAGAGCGATTGCTATGCAATTACTGTGAGATGGGCGGATATACCAGGGCTATTTCTGGGCAACAGCTACATAAACATGTTACCAAAAAAAAAATGGAACAATGCCTGTTGCTAGGCAGCGTATTCTTAGTAATGCGACAGCTGGACTACAGCGCTGGAAAAGCTGTGTTTTCTACATGGTCCATACCAAGAGGTTATAAGCGGGGCAAGGTTAGAGCTTCAGTTCTCTACAAGAGTCTCAGAAGAAAGGTCTTGAGCCCAGAAGCAGAGGAATAGCCATTGTTGTAGCCCTTAACAGGAAACGTCTAGTAACAGACTGAGAACACTAGTCAGTGTACTCTAGTGAAATGTAAAATGTGGAAATAGGGATAGTGTTATAGTTATTTGTAGTTACGACCTGTGAGTGGTTATGAAATCTGTTCACCAGTCCAAACCCCATCTATAGTATCACATAACAGTATAGATGTGTACAAATAAAATATATAGGTAAGGTTAAGTGATCCCTGTGCTTCATTAATTAAGCACCATGCCACAAAGGTGTATGGGGGATTAGAGGTATAGCCCAACTATTCTTCACTTCCATACTACGAGGTGTAGTATGGAGGTGAGTGGTCAATTTAACAGCCTGGCTGCTTTACCCTCAAGGAAAGGGTCCCCAGTACCCATTGAATGGAAAACTGGGTTGATCCCACAGCTGGTCTGACCACTGTAGAAGAATGTCTCTTGCCCCTGCTGGGAATCGAACCATACCCATCAAGCCTGTAGCCCATCACTATGCCAACTGAGCTATCCCACCTGCTGTATATATAATTGTGCAAATGTATGGTGTAAAGTATACCACTCATCACATCAGCCCTGATGAAGGAGACAGGCATCAACACCGCATGGACATGGCTGCTCAGAAGAGAAGACTCTGTTATGTACTGTTGCCTACAAAGCTTCAAGTCTTATCATTTCAGTAACCTTTATTAGCAGTTCATATCCTCTTTTAATGAGTCATGTGCACAGGGGAGCTTGCCGAGAGTACTGCATCCTCTCAGTCCTGAGTTAAACTCTGGATCCCAGTCCTGTAATACCCAAGGATTTTAATGTCTCTGTTCCAAAAATGAAGATTATAATTGTACTTAAAGAGTATCTTCAAGAGTTTTAATGAATATTCTGCATCTTTATACACTTGGTATGTAAGTTTTATTCTAAGCTTAGAATTATTTTAATGCTTATAAAACTACTTTACAATGATATCAAGGAGTACAGATAGCCATCTTGATCTCTATATGATACTGGATTAGCAAACCCCAGGTCCAGAGATAGGCAAGCTCTATCAGTTGGGCCCAACTGAGTAGGTTTCACCTGATGACAGAGACAGAAACCAGCCTCCAAAATGCTGTTTTGAAATATAAACAGGATTTTGTTTAAGATAAAAATAGGACCATGGGTAATGCCCAGAAAAATAATATTTGTACCAGGGTCTTTAATAGAATGTTTCTGTTAAAAGTGACATGAGGGTATACACATATTTCTTTTAGTAAGGTATCCAGAGAAACCATTTCTTTGAAAATACCAAGCATACTGGCTCAAGGAGTACTGCTTCTGACTTGAATTGCAGTTACTTGCTTTGCATCTTGACGAGGACACCAGGTCTCATGACTGAGGTCTCCCACACCTAACTTCATGGAGCTGAGCCCTTCTTGAGAAGCTGCCAGTGGTGCAGCTACTCACGAATTTCCCAACAATTTATGGGACCCGAAGGTTCATTACTGTGTTCACAAGAGTCTTCCACTGGTTCCAATCCTGAGCCAGATCAATCCAGTCCATATCACCCCATCTATCTCTCTAAGATCCATCTTAATACCTACATCTTCATCCTAGTGGCCTCTTTCCTACCAATATCCTATATGCATTCCTCTTTTCCTCCATTCATGCTACATGTCCTGCCCACCTCATCCTCCTTGACATGATTATTCTGATTATATTTGACTAGTTATGAAACTCCTCATTATGCAGTTTTCTCCAACCTCCTGTCACTTCATCTCTCTTTGGTTCAAGTATTCTCCTCAGCACCCTGTTCTCAGAGACCCTCAGTTTGTGCGTAAGATGTCTCATGGTTTTCATTATTCCTTCCAGGCAGACACTGGGATAGTATCCCATGTTACCACATGATTGCTTCCTTACACATCCTTTGCAATTAAATATTGCATGGGGGGCATGCGGTAGTGTAGCTGGTTGAGGCACTATGATACAAGCTGGAAGGACGCGGAATATTTTCAGTTGACCTAATCCTTCCAGCCACATAATGGCCCTGGGGTCAACTGAGCCTCAAAGAGAAATGAGTACCCAGAATGTTCTTGGAATGTTCTTGGGGGTAAAGGGCAGCTNCCATTCATGCTACATGCCTTGCCCACCTCATCCTCCTTGACTTGATTATTCTGATTATATTTGACTAGTTATGAAACTGCTCATTATGCAGTTTTCTCCAACCTCCTGTCACTTCATCTCTCTTTGGTTCAAGTATTCTCCTCAGCACTCTGTTCTCAGAGACCCTCAGTCTGTGCGTGAGATGTCTCATGGTTTTCATTATTCCTTCCAGGCAGACACTGGGATAGTATTCCATGTTACCACATGATTGCTTCCTTACACATCCTTTGCAATTAAATATTGCGTGGGGGGCATGCGGTAGTGTAGCTGGTTGAGGCACTATGATACAAGCTGGAAGGACGCGGAATATTTTCAGTTGACCTAATCCTTCCAGCCACATAATGGCCCTGGGGTCAACTGAGCCTCAAAGAGAAATGAGTACCCAGAATGTTCTTGGAATGTTCTTGGGGGTAAAGGGCGGCTGGTGCGTAGGGCTGACATCCTTGCTGCTGTCTATGAGCCAATTGTCTAGAAAATGTGGGAACCTCAACATCTTGCAACCCTGTGGGCCTCCAGGGCCTGTTACAGGGATATTTTTACTTAATCTTTTTTACTTTCATCCTGCTATTCAACATTGTAGATGTGACTTACTGGCCGGAAAAGGACAATGTCTAGTTTCAGTTTCATATTGTAACAGTAGGCTTTATGACTTGATAAAGTGTACTATCTGTTCTTTTTCATTAGGTCTGTCAGTACTCGGTTTGTACTTTAAATAATGGACATCAGGAGTAACAGAAATAATGAAGGATGTCTTCAAAGTGGAGAATTGTTAAAATTAATTTTCCATTAAGACTGATGGGTGTTTTAAGCAAACCTCTTTATACATATAATAAGTCTAAGCAGGGTAGCCACTATCTGTTTGTCATTATGTCATTTCCATAGAAGCCAACATTCAGAATTAATATAACTTGTGATGGAGTCGAAAAGATGTGAGCAATAAACATGTTTCAGTCGGCGTTACAGAGTCGAGCTTTGCTGGGAAAAGGTACCTGTAGACATTATGCTGTGGTTATTCTGTCAAGTTGTCTTTTGAGATCTGTTTCAGTTTCAGGTTCATGATTTGCATATTCAGTGAAATTATGATTTTTTAGTGTCCCTTGAGGGCTGTAATATGTAAGCCTGGATCAGTATAGTGCTTATCTGTGGAAACGCGATGAGATGTGGGGAATGTTAGATTTCTCTGTCAAATGTTCCACCTGTTGCAGGCATTCCCAGTTGCAGGAGGCAGCCTTCACTCCCTTGAATAAATAATGCTTTGCTAGGTATAGTTTGAGATCTACCTTTTATGTGATTGATCCTGAGAGGTGGGAATCTTACCAAATGGACAAGCACAAGCATAGTCTGCATGGCGGTCAACACAGATGCCACCATTTAGACACGGTGAAGAATCACATTCGTCAATGGGAGTTTCACACGCTTCACCAGTCCAGCCTGAAAGTATAGTGACATGTTGGGGAATGTAAACAGTGGAAACCGTTCATACTCGTATCTTGATGGTTGGTATCAAGTTCGATGCAATACCTGCCAGACAAGAACAGGTGAATGAGTCTCCTGGCCCCTCCACACAGATACCTCCATTCAAACATCGGGATTCATCTGTGGTGTTGCATACTGCTTCATCAATCTCACAGAATGAACCTGATAACAAATTGGAATTATTGAGAAAGTACAGGTTTGGCATCTGCAGTTTGCATGCAACTGGTAATGACTGCCCCCCCCCCCAGTTAGGAAAGGTAGGCTGAAATGCAAAAGGAGGATTATGAGATCACTTGCTGTTTGTGTGTTTCACCCCCTATCATTACTAGGCAGCTACAGAAAAATGTTCCCATGGCAATGAATACACATGCAACAATCGAAGAACTGTTGAATATAGTGTTTTCTGTGCAGCCCATGTCAAACTGCTCAGCATGTAGTGAAAGGAAAGTAGGAGATAAGTATTTCCCCAATCAAACTTCTTGTTATAAAGTTGCTTCAGAAGCAAAGTTGGAATTCGCACAGGTCACCTGCCGCATGATAGTTCTCCTAGATGCCACTAGCAATACTGCCTTCCATCTTTTCTCATGCATGTGCCATTACAGTACAGGTTAGGTGATTCTGTGATTGTATTGCAGTATGTATGAAATCTCTTACCCATTAATTTTTTATGCTGCATAGGGAGAACCCCATGCAGAAATTAAAGCAAAAATACATTGTTTTGACTATGAAGCAGAAAATGGAGATATGTAAAAGACTGGTAAAGGGCGAATGTCATGCTGTGCCTATGATTGCGTTTCTACAAGAGTGTTTCCCATGTAATAAGTTGTGTACTCAAGTATCAGTGTGTTCACAATATTATACTGCAGCGTCCTGTTGCACTGTGTATTCTAACTTTGTGTTCTGTCACCCCTAGCTGTCTTTGTGCACAGCTTTGTCGATATATTAATATTCATACTTCAGTGTCTTTGTCTCTTCTCATTATACAACACTACATGTTTCGTCCTAACTGACCATCATCACGTGTATAGAATGTTGGATTATAGGAACCTGCTGCTCACACAGTACAAATGGATATAATCAACATGTATGAAAATGTTATGAAATTGGAAATAATGATGTTATATTCCCAGTATATATACAGGGTATCTAGGTGTTTTGTGCCATACTTCAGGAGCATACTGAGGGTTCCCTGTAAAGCAACTTTGAAATAGGAACCCATGTCCACAAACATGAAATAGCAGCGCTATTTCATGTGGTTCATTCACTGTGGGGTCGTTTTTCTTATTTTCTGTGTAAACCGTGTCTTGTGATGTGTGTTCTCTTCTTAGCTGCAACACGGTTAACACAGAAAATAAGAAAAATGACCCCATAGTGAATGAACCATACGCAAGTTTTAATTAAGACACATAAGATGAATATTCTTAACAAGTTTTAGTGAGTGTAAATTTATTATAGTTGACAAATACGCACTTTTTAAATACTTTTTAAATGGTGTTGTGAAGACATATGAGGGCAAGCAATGCAATAGATTAACGTAATTAGGGCACCTGATGATGGCACTATGTTGCCGAAACATGTCGTGAAGTAACAGGTGAAATTGAGTGCACTACAAGACGGCCACTGTATACATATCATGGATGAAAATCAGTGCAACAGGACGCTAAAATACAACAAATCAAATCAACAAACATGCACCAGACACATGCATACATATAAAGTAACAATAGCGTGATAATAAAAAATTAACCTAAAATAAAAAAAGCCAAAAAGGATTTATTGAATTTAAAGAATAAATGAAATCAAATCAAATCAACAAAACGTACACCAGACACATGCATACATATAAAGTAACAATAGCGTGATAATAAAAAATTAACCTAAAATAAAATGTTTTAGAATCATTTTACATCAAAATAAAAAGCAGAACATCATGACGACACAGCAGTTTCTTTAATTTGACATTGTATAGACCTGATGATGGCCAGTTAGGCCGAAAGATGTAGCGTTGTGTAATGAGAAGTGAAGAAGATGCTGAACTGTGAATATTAATATATTGACAGAGTTGCACAAAGATGGTGAGGAGTGAGAGAACACAAAGTTAGAGTATCAGTGTGTTCTGAAAAGTGTGGCTGTATTAGGAATTATGAGATAGAAATGTAGAATTTTGTGTGTCTGTCACAAATTGCTTAACCCTTTCCCTGCTAGAGATGTACGTATGCATCCTTTGATGAGCTACAGAATATTAGGTTGAGTTAGGTTATGTTAGTTTAAGTGGCATATGTACATAGTGTTCTATGGCAATTTTTGTTCCAATTTAGTAGTGAAAATATCCATCACAGAAAGGATTAAGCTGAAAGCCAGTTCTCTGTAGTCCGGCAAGAAGCAATCAACATTGTGCAAGCATACTTTCCTTTCTTACCAGAATAACCAGGGAGGCACATGCAGGTGTAGCCATTGATGTCATCGAGGCAAGTTGCGTTGTTGAAGCAAGGGTTGGACTCACATTCATCCAGGTTCTCATCGCACGTTTCACCTGTGCCATTTAATTCAGGGGAAAAAATGCTGTGATAAACCGAAATAATTTGTGCCCTAATTGAAGTGTGGATTCCCAAATTTAATTTCTTTCCCATTCCATTGTATATATGTAAGACATACCTGTATATCCATCAGGACATGTGCAGTTAAAAGCAGCAACCCCATCATGACAAGTTCCTCCATTGAGACATGGTGAAGACCAACACTCATCCCAGTTAGTTTGACACTGAACACCAGTGTAACCATCAATGCAGTAACAAGTGTACGTGCTATAAGTATCAAAAGGTATCAAATGCTGTTATCTGAAGCAAAGATCTAGTGTTGTAGGTAGATTAGGGGTAGAAATATCTGCCATTGACCCTCTGATAGTGTGTTTGTGGATCTTTACTCCAAGTTAACCTTTCTCACTTTTCTAACACATAAGCAAGGTCAGNTGAACACCAGTGTAACCATCAATGCAGTAACAAGTGTATGTGCTATAAGTATCAAAAGGTATCAAATGCTGTTATCTGAAGCAAAGACCTAGTGTGTTTGTGGATCTTTACTCCACGTTAACCTTTCTCACTTGTCTAACACATAAGCAAGGTCACAAACATCAGTAGGAGACCAGTTCTACTGATGAGCCCAGATGATTGTATATTCATATAGCATTATGGGATTTCTGGACTTGTCCATTGCCCGAGTATTCCAGACGGAACATGGTGGTTCAGAAACAGGGTCTGTTTCCATCCTTGATGAAATGGTATGAAAATACCTACTCACTTTCATCTGTTACACTTAGGTAATCTTGGATCCAGCAGTTACTCCAATATAATGGACCAAACTGAAAAGGTTTCTTTATTGTTTGCATCCTGTTATGCATTATTACTATATGTTATTATTATACAGCTGTCAGCACAACAAATTCACAATAAATAAACCAGTATTACTGTATTAATATTATTTTATTATGTGCGTTTGCTACATGTTTTGATCCAGATGGACCATCATCAGGCAATATTCATGAAATGTACTGCTCACATTGAATTGTATTTCTATTGTGGGTCAGTATTAGTGGTCATAAATGTAAATAAAAAGAACCACAGAATGGGAACAACGGTGTCTAATAGCAAGAGTACATGGTACCTTATACAGAACACAATAAAACATACACAATAACTTTACCACCATCACGCACAGCATAAAATATAGAATTTACACCACTTAACACATAGAAAACTGCCACATAACTCATGCACATAATAATGAAAAACAATGCAGACTCCCAAAAAAGCCCACTACTCTGCGATACATCATCATAGACCATAAAGAAATAAAATTTAACTTCTAACTTCTGAGTTATAAAGTTTTACATTTAATGCTAATATTTAAATGTAATGAAACACAAGAATCGTAGTGAAATTTATGTTTATGACCACTAATATGGATCCACATTAGAAATACAATTCAATCTGATCAGTACATTTCATGAATATTGCCTAACAATGATCCAACTGCATCAAAACATGCAGCAAACTTACATAATAAATGAATGTTATTAATACAGTAATATTGGTTTATTTATTACGAATTTGTTGTATTGACCATTGCATAATAATACTATATATAAAAATGTTTCTCTTCTCCTGGCCTATATTGCCATATAGTTTGTTAGACAGATACAATACTGTCTCAGTCTTCAGGGTAGAAGATAGAGGAAATATTTTCCTTAAAAATATCGTCATCCACGTAACAGACTACACGGCGTCATAACCCAGAATACCACAGTATGAATCAAAACTGTGTTGGCCCCAACATTCTGTGTAACGGGATGGAGTTTTATCTCAGGGCAGGTTTTAGTCACTGAATCTCACACTTTCAAGGGTATGTTTGAAATATAGTTCATGATTTTTGGATTAGTTGTAATGTTTGCTGCTGAAAACTAATTTTCATAATTTTTCTGAAGTTATTTCAAATTAATTTAATTTGAGGGCGTAAAATGGCAACATCTTCGGTACCTGTGAAAATTGGAGGATCCAATGGAAGAATGATGTGGCTCCAGTTTAAGCAGAAAATCAGTTTTACAATTTATATAATATATATATGTTTAAAATCGGTGGAGGAATGATGTGGCTGAAGTGGAGCCACGCCATGCTGTGGTTCATATTAGTTCCTGAACATATCTGGGTTTACTGGGGTTTCGGATGATGGAAAAAGTCCAAAAAGCCAGTAATTCTATATATCTTATGTTTGTTTTTCAAACGTTTCTTGAAGTGGGGCAACATCCTTTTTGCACTCAACCCTTCAATTCTGTTCTCTATAATCTGACACTTCAGTCTTTGTAGATGTTTTCCAGTGTTTTGCGAAAACCTGGTGTCTCCTTCTTCAGGATAGAAGATAGAGGTAAGCATACTCTCCTATCTTGAAGATGAAGGCAACAGGTCACTTGATTGTTCTGCCAGACTTTTACCTGTTGATGTCATCCATACAAATCCCATAAAAGCATGGGTTGCTGAGGCAGGCAAAGCCTGCTGACGCAAGTCTGAGGACTGTCCACGTGGTGCACACGGCCACCAGCATCTGTTTACTGCAGGACCTCATGGGGCATCCTTGCTCCTACCTTCCTGTCATCTACGCCCTGCAGCAGTCATGAACGTCTTATTTATTTACTTATCTGTACAGTACATTGTAGCTGGGGGCACTGTGCTACAAGCTGGAGAGTCACGGGTTTGATGAGGTCATTGGATTTTTCTATTGACCAAACCCTTCCAGCTGCACCATGGCCCTGGGGTCAACTCAGTCTCTGACAGAAGTGAGTACAAGGAATCTTCCTGGGGGTAAAGGGCGGCCAGCACACAAGGCTGACAACCTCACCGCTACAGCCATTATAGTGACTGGGCTATGGGCTGAAAGATCGAGATCTTTTTCTCCTCCACAGCACCGAGATTGGCTCTGGGTCATACCAGCGGCTGCTGGAGGCTGTTTCTGTGAGAGGGCATCCATCTGGTACCAATATTAAGAATGCATGGAGCTGTACTTCCACTCCCCCATACATCTTCATGGCATGGTACTTAACTAATAAGGCACAGGGACAACTTTATTTATTTATTTGTATATATATGTTGTTTTAACGGTATCGCAGATTATATAGGGTCGAATGGCGTGATAAATGCATTTGAACTGAAAAGTGGATTAAAGTGACCATGGCCTAATTTCCATCAGAACTTAGGTTCCGTCGTTTGCCTGAAGAGACTGATGAGAACCCAGGGAAAACCTCTGTCATGATAGTTTAACAATTGCTGACTGTGGTATATGTAGGAATCCACAGAACAATATTTGCACCATGTCACTGTACTTCATTGAGCTGTCCTGGCTTCCATTATGATAATAATCAGTATCTATGAAAATTACTATGTAGAATAATGTGACACCATGCAGTGTGGTACAGAAATAAGCAACATTTCGGAGGAACTTGCTGTCTCCTTCAAGGTGTAAAAATTATTCTGCCTGAAGATGGAGGCAGCGGGCCCCTCCGAAACGTCGATACCTATCAAGCAGATCGCACAGCATCATATTCCAGAAGACAGTAATCTTATTTACTGCCGTGGTAACCGGAAGTTTCATATAGTGATGTTAGTGTATCCTGTTTTAACGACACTCTCAGCCTCTGAGGTTATTTTCAAGTTGAGAATGTGGGAGGAGGTGGTCGTCCTCGGAATTATCCACGTATTCGCCGAGATATGCTGAATAAGCAGAGTTTTATTTTCGAGGCAAGAAAAACAGGAAAGTTGGTTCCAGTTGAGGTCACACCGCGTAGACTTGCAGTTGCATACCAAAGTTTTTGAGGAACTTGGTGCCGAAGTGAGTATGATTAGATGCGGCTAGGTTATGTGTGAGGGTGGTAACGTGAACCCACCAAGGAGCCGTTAATATGGTGACGTCAGAATACCAGAAAGGGGACATCTCATCTTAGAAAAGAATGCGGGTAATATGAAGGTAAAATGTTTCATGAGCTTAACGAAGCACCGCACCGTGAAGACGTATGAAGGAGTGGAGACAACTCGACGCACTCTTAACCACGGCATGAGGTGAATGGTCAGCTTCAAGTTTCGGCCCCTTTACCTGCAGGGAAATAACCCATTAGACAGGAGGCTCGGTGGGCCCCAGCTCCTGTATTGGAAGATCGAACCCCGATTCTCTGTTCACTCATATTGTAGCGTAGTCACTCTATCGACTGAGCTGTCGAAATATGTGATCATTGATGTCCCGAATTATCGAAGGTGGATTATGCAGATAATTGTAAGGAGAACTAAGTAAGAGATAAACATGTTTGAGGACACGACATCATTAGACAGTTGTTAAAGAGGCCATTTTCAAGGTATGGTGGAAGATTTAGTTGACACGGAAATTTTCCTCCACATGAGGACATACCCACAGAGATGTTTCAGACAGACAGTAGCGCTCAACGATGTGCCAAGTAAATTTCCGTTTCGGTCTAGTTGTTTTCTGGGTCAAGATTGCAGACGTTTCGAGCGAAGTGTTACATAAATCGCCATGAAGAATGAAAAGGAGTTACTCCAGCTTGTATGAAGTCGGAAGTCCGGCATCAGTGGGCTGCTGTACTCATTGTAGCTAATTAACTTTCGGTTAATGTGACATAGAGTCGTGATATGAAGGTAACTAATTTTTGTGGGTTCTGTAACTACGCAGTCAGCAGTTCAGACAGTGCAGTGTCGAATGGTAAGATTATTGGTATCTGATAAATTAGAAAAGATGCGGAGGGTGGCGACGTAACCTGTGCCAAGATACTGTGATGCGTGTCCTGGTCTCGAGAACAAGACACGCAGCACAACGAACCAACACGCCAAGAATGTTAACACCTGATGATGACCACATCAGTCGAAACATGTAGTGACGAACTTTTAAACTTTTAAAGCGAGTAACATTGAGGAAATTTTATAGAACATAGTGTTGTACGTGAGACTACAAAAGAACTAATCGACACTCAGTGAAAAGTGCAACAGGGTGCTATAATATAATATTACTATCATCTAATTCGCCCGGAGGGACTGAGGATGACCACGGAAAGTCCCAGTGAGGATAGTCGGTGTCCTGGCCGAGATTCAAGCCAGAAATGCCCCAAATACAGGTCTAAAGCGTTATGGCTTAAAATATTTGTTAACTACAGTAAACAATCAGAATTACGTTCATGAATAATTGAAGATCATATTAAATTCGGGAAAAGCTTGCTTCTGTTCACTTCAGAATATTTTGTCTTCCATTCTGATGGGCCTATCGGGAAAACGTGAAGATTAACATATACAAAACTGTATAATTTTGCCTGTGGTTCTGTAAACGGTCTAGAAAACCAAGATTAACTGCCGTGGGCAACCATTGCGCTGACCACGTGATACCCCTCTATCCTCAAAAGTTGGCACTAACTTCGCCGACAAGCGGCGGACGCTCGGTCGGTATAGTTCGCTTGCGGACTACAGGCCACGGAGTTTGTGGTTGTGTATGGGTGTGAAACTTGGTCTCTCACATTAAGGGAAGACCAAGGATTGAGGGTGTTGAGAGGGATGAAGCGACTGGAGGGTAGAGAAAGCTGCATAATGAGGAGCTTCATAATTTGCACTCCTCACCCGTATATGATTAGCGTGATCAACTCACTGAGGATGAGATGGGTGGGGAATGTAGCACGCATGAGAGCGAGATGGTTTTGGTTAGAAAGTTTTCGTAAAGGAATAGGCTGTGAGGGTGAGGACTGGATCCATCTGGCTTAGGATAGGGACCAGTGCTTGACACTTGTGAACAGCATTAACCAGTTCTTTGTAATAGACGCTGTGAGCGGGAGACTGACTTGGCAAGTCATTTCGGTTCATTGCTTCAGTTACGGAGGAACACTGCCTTCTTGGATGTGACGCCGTGTAGTCGGGTAGAAATTTCTGAGCTGCTTGTCCCCTGTTTTCTGTTTGTGAAGTGACTTACTACTCGACCCTGAAGAAGAATGAAGCTTGTTCCTTCGGACAGATCTGTGTGGACTTCCGCCGGACTATACGGCGTCATATCTCCGATCCTACACCACTTAGGCCTACCGTTACTTGCGTGTGCTTGGTACGTTGAGTGCGTAGGGCTAAATATAACAAACGTTAATATGGCACGTGAGGGTCACGTATTGATTCATGTGCCTCAACTCGCGCGACGCAGGGCAATCACACTGCGTGCAGTTCTGGTTCGGAATCACGCCTTTTAGAGTTACTACAGAACTATTGTATTCATTTTAGTTTATCGCTCGTGTTTTGTTACTCACCCACTTCTGATTGTATCCCCTTCCTCTTGCTCTACTGACGATTATTCAAAGAACACTGCCTCCACTCAAAGTGTAGTCCAGCCGCAAGGTAATTGCGGTCATGTTTCCATGGTAACCAGTAAACAACATTGAGGGGTGTGGTAAAACTGGCTTAAGGAACGACAGTTGACTAACGCGGTGTGGATACGTAAGAGGGTTTGCTGTATGTTGATGATGGTTCCAGCACAACCGATAAAGGCGTTAACTGCGAATTCAAAGAACGAGGAATTGGGGTTCGAGTTCCGGCAGGAGCAACAGATTTTTCGCTTCTCCGTGACGTCAAAATCGACGTTGGGGCCCATCCAGTTCTCCTATGCAGTGAATACTGAGGATTGTTTCCCGGGGGGTAAAGGTGGAGGTGTGTGAAGCCGACCACTCACCACGTAGTGATGAGGTAAGAAAAGTGTTTCGGTGTTGCGATGTTTAATTAATCGCATGCCTACGTTTTACGTTTTGCTGTATTTATAAGCCTCCACGGCGTCCAGGCCGATTGTGAGATTCACCCAGCCTCCTATCCAGATGGGTACCTGGGGTTCTTTCCCCGGAGGTAGAACGGCCGGGGTGTGACGCTGATCACTCACCAACTAGTGCCGAGGTCAAGAATACGTGGGTTTGTACGTTCACCCCCCACCCCCGTAGACCTTCATGACGTAGTGGTTAATTAGTTAATATAAGGACAGGTTATTCATAAGCCCCCGTATGGAGGCGGGTTACAATACCTCCGCCGCAGCCCTGGAGTCGTAGGAAGCGGAGAAAAGTGATCCCGGTGTCTGGGGATATAACTGGACCACCCTATCACTGACAGGGACTTGGTTCTAAAGGTCGAGGGTTGTACGCAAGGCTGACGACTTTGCTCTGTAAAAGAAGTTATTTTCCCGAAAGGCAAAGAAGTGGAAACCGGATGAATTGATTGAAGACGAATCTGGCAGAATCTTAAGGAAGCTTATGGCTCAGAGAAGGAGGAGTGTTTTTGGCAATGACCATTATATTCATAAACATTAAATTGTAGCAAGTATTCACCTTGCCTGTTTGTGATGCGTGTTCCCATTGGTGCGCTCCCGAAAACGGAACCGGCAGGACAGCCCGGCACACATTTCCATGTGGAAGGAGACGCACCCAAGCTGCGCATGCTCCCAAACGATAGGAGGGCGCCTCGGCACTCAAAACACCAGGGCAGATGGACGCAGCCATCGTTATTTCCAGGGGAAGGTGGAAAGCCAGAAAATTTGCTGACGGACCTACCTTTAAGCCATGTTCATTTTGCGGCTTTCGCATTCTCATTTTCGATCATCAGTCGTTCCGTCAGTATGGAGATGGTGTGCGACGTTTCAGAGATTGCGGGTCTCAATCTTCTGGTTTTGACGTGATGACTGACTGCTAATTTCTGCTGATCCTCGCCAGCACAGTGATCCCTGGTTCCGAGTCCCATGGTACTCATGACTGTATTTTATTGTCTGATGGCTCTGGGAGCCTTCAGAACTCCTGATGTGATGAGCTTCTGATTTCTGCTGGTTTCGCCAGCGCAGTGATCCTTCGTTCCGAGTCCTACAGGACCTGTAACCGTATTTTACTGACTGATGGCTCTGGGAACCTTCAGATTTCCTTTTCCTGATGTGATATGTTTGTTCTTTTCAAACGCTGTATCTGTACACGAAGCTTTCCTGGTCGCATGGGGAGCAGTCGGTCCGTTGGCGTACAACGCTAGTCACATCCTCTGAAAAATCACACACTTATCTCCACGTTGATACAACCGATTGCACGAGAATACATTATTTACGAGGGAGAGTGAATAAATAATCACAAATGGAAGTAAAACAGCTGTAATGGGTGTAATAGGCTTTCTATGTAGCAGCACATTCCAGCTTCATGACAGTATAGGTAGCAGACGCGCATGCGCATACTCAGAGGCTGGTTTCAGTACTGAGAATGGCGACCGTTCGTAAGTGTACCATCGAAAAACAGCGTTTCTTTTTGTGTGCGAAGGACATTCATAAAGAAATTTTCCCCGTTTACTGTCGGAAGTGTTTGTCTCGTAAAGCGGTTCACAATTTAGTGGCAGAGACAACAGTCAAGAAACTTCTGTGCTGCGGGTTTCGACACACTGGTAAAGCGATGGGACAAGTATATCAATGTTGGTGGAGGATATGTCGAGAAATGTTATTCTCAGGTTCGAATATTACATGGTTTAAGGTTTATATCCGTTTGTAACCTATTTACTGATTCCCTCGTAAGTTCAAGCCGTTTAAGGCCATTTTCAGTGATTGACCCAAGGCAGAGGTTCGCGAACTTTGTGATACTGTGTCCCTAACATAACACGTAACATTTACACGACCCCTACCCATCTCTAACGGTCAGCGGGAAGTGCAGTTCTGCACATTGTTGTAGGTCCCTATCAGGCTCAGCGCTAGCAACAGGAACCTAAACAGCTTTGCAGCATCTCTGCACCTGCAATACGTTATTATATGTTCATGTAGAAAGTAAAATATGGAAGGTGAAGTTGTCCCTATGTTTAACTAAGTAAGCACTATGCTATGAAGACGTATGGAGAAATGGATGTATAGATCCACATTTTCTTGACCTCGGCACTAACAGGAAGTAAGTGGTCAGCTTCACGCCCCGGCCGCTTTACCCCCAGTATCCATTTGATAGGTTGGGTGGGCCCCAGAGCCGATCTTGACGGTGTGGAGAAAAGAACATTCTTGACCCTACCGAGACTCGAAATCTGACCCTTCAGTCGTACAGCCCGTAGCCAGTCGCTACCGACTGCGCCATCCCGAGTCATGTACAGTCGCGAAATGTATGGCCGGCTGCTGCAACATTTTCCGAAAGCGCCTATATTACTCTTTACTTATTTGTCGCAACTGTGTGTGGATGCAACTGTAGTTTAAGTCTTTCTTTTTTCAACTGGACAGCCATTTTTAGTGTAGGACGCAACCCGCTGAGCAATGGGTCGCGACAAACAGTTTGATAAACTGTCTTAATGAATTTAGGATAGAAGGATATTAAACAGGAAGTTCTGGGAAGAACAAATCACCTGCTTTCCTTTGATACTCCACGGACCACATAGTAAACGACGTGTCCAACAATTAGTATATTGTTGCGTGTTTCGTTGCCGCCGTAACGTTTTTTAACCTAGCTACTGCCTAGCAACGATAGGGCGATACACAGACTGATGGAAGGGATTTATGAAGTACGCCGCTGAGATGGTCTGAGGTGGCATGAAGACTGGTTCAGGCATTCAGAAGTTGGTACACAGAGAGCATGGCGATAGCATAAGCATAATTATATTTTTTTAAATGCCGGTAAGTAGGCAAAAAATACTTGTAATTTTTTACTTTGCTATTTGGTGTATAACATTTCTTCAGTTACGATTTTTTAAACGAAAGTGCTTGGGGACACGCCGTAACGTAGTTGCTACAAGCCCGAAGGTCGCGGTTTCGAATGCCGATGAGGTCACTGGATTTTTCAGTAGACCTAATCCATCCAGCCGCACTATGGCCCTGGGGTCGACCCAGCCTCTAATAGAAATGAAGGACGGCCGGCGCGTAAGGCTGACCTCAGCGTCATCTGTGAGCCGATTGCCAAGAAAATGTGGGAGCCTCGACTTCTGACAGCCCCGTGGGCATCCACGGCCTGTGACAGGGATAAATTTACCTTTAAGAAAGGAGCGGTGAGGAGGAACCATCGAGGGCGCCCCCCCAGGACTGCCCTGCCACCACAGAATGAGAATGCGGTTGCCAGTGTGTGCACTAGGTGCGCTAGTGCCAGAGGTGAGAGGCGGGGGAGCGGCTGCTCCTATTGTTCGGGATTGTGAACTAGTTCAGTTCGCAGAGCCGAGCTGTTAACATCTCGGTTTGTGTGCAGTGAGCTGTTGGAATTTGCCACTGACAAGACTGAAATCCGCAATAGAAGCACAGGCATTTCTGCAACTGCCATTTGGTGGAAGGTAAAAGGTAAAGTTGGCCCGTGTTCTTTACTAATTAAGCGCTACGCCACGAAAACCTATGGAGGGAGTAGATGTATAGATCCACGTATTCATATATGGCAAAGAAAGTAAAAGTAAAGCTACCCCTGTAACAGGCCATGGAGGCCCACAAGATTGTGAGATGTTGAAGTTCCCACATTTTCTAGACAGTCGGCTCATAGAGGGCGGTAAGGTTGTCAGCCTTACGCGCCGGCCGCCCTTTACCCCCAAGAATATTCCTGGTACTCATTTCTGTTAGAATTCATATATGGTGGAAGAGATTTTTTGTTTCTCCTTTTTAAACATGCCATTGCATTTCATTGCATTGCCATTCAAATTTCACATGCCAGGCCTGCAACAAACGTTATTAGACAATTCACATTTTGAGCCATATTAATCCATGTTACGCCCAACGTCCGTAAGTAGACTTTTCCAGGGATCGCATCAAGTGGGTTGGCATAGCGATAGTGTTCCAGAGATGCTGTGTTCGAATCTCGACCGGAACACCAGATGTCGTGACTGATGTTTTGTTGTTTTCTTCAGTCCTTCCAAATCTCCTGATTGGCATACCCTTTGATCCTGTGAGGACCTCAGACATTGTTTGTTATGTTCAGGTTATGGTCGCAGTTTGAATGGAAAGCAGGACCTTTTGAATACTAGGCAGATGTGCTAGAGTCCACCCACTCTGCGAACAATGTTACGTCATCTCTTCTGTAGAGAATCTTACCAAAGAACAGCCCTTTGTAAGCTATGTTTTGAATTTTCTACCTGCATATGACTGCCGGAAATACAGGATGGTTCTAAATTATTGTCGGGGTTTCCGTGGCCTAGAATTTTCAAACCGGAAACAAGAAAATAACACTACTTACGGAATATGAAAGTGTAACTTAAAAAGTTTTATTTGGTGACGCTATAGTCGCTGCATTGATATCTGGGCGAACATAAGACGTCATGCGTCAAAATGTTTTTCCTAAAAAAAAGTCCGTTATCAAAACGCAACGTTGTTACAGAACTCAATATGGAAAAGACCCACCTTCAGATAATGGTATCCGATGTTAGTTAAAACTGTTTCAGAGACCGGTACTGTTCTGCACCGAAAAGGAGCGGGAAGGCCGAACGCTTCGCAGGAAGTTGTTGATCGAATGCAGTAAGCTCGGACATCATATGTGCTAAGAAATGAGCACATGTTGAAGTTGTTTAGCGTTATGCAGCATTGATTCTATGATTATAAAACTTGTTGAATAGCACTTTCATATTCTGTAAGCAGTTCTGTTTTGTTTCCGGTCTCATAGTTATAGTTATAGGCCACCGAAACCCCTACTGCAGTGGTTATCAAACTGTGGGGCGCGACCCCCAGGGGGGGGGGGCG